TATGAAGTACTTTTTGGGCATAACCGCCACTTGGTGTCCATCCCCTACACGGGGGATTTTGGGGGAAACTCAAATATTTCAAATACAAAGAGCCATCGAGTGACCCCTCGTTTTAAAGGTCCTGGTAAAAGAAAAACAACAACGCAAACTAGAGGTCTCTATCTCAATCCAGTAAAAAATGGCAGCCAGTTGAAATTCTCTGAAGTTAAATTTAACCTTCTGCTTTCCAAGTCTGGAGACCCCCTGTAAATTTTGTAACGGCTCACACTAGGCAAACTAAACTCTACACACTTTTTTGGCATGTTATGAAGTAATGTTTAAGCCTAATAGCCACTTGGTTCCCAAACCCAAAATGGGGGATTTTGGGGGAAACTCAAAAATTTTAAACGATAAGCCCCATCGAGTGACCCCTCATTTTGAAGGCCCTGGTAAAAGAAAACTAACAACGCAAACTAGAGGTTCCTATCTCAATCCAGTAAAAAATGGAAGCTGATTGAATCTTTAGAAATCAGAAATAACTTGCAATTTTATATTCAACTGGCTGCCATATTTTACTGTGTTAAGATAGAGACCTCTAGTTTGCGTTGTTAGTTTTCTTTTACCAGGGCCTTCAAAATGAGGGGTCACTCAATGGGGCTTATCGTTTAAAATTTTTGAGTTTCCCCCAAAATCCCCCATTTTGGGTTTGGAAACCAAGTGGCTATTAGTCTTAAAAATTACTTCATAACATGTCAAAAAAGTGTGTAGAGTTTATTTTGCCTAGTGTGAGCCGTAACAAAATTTACAGGGGGTCCCCAGAATTGGAAAGCTGTAAGTTAAATTTAACTTCTAAAAATTTCAATTGGCTGCCATTTTTTACTGGATTGAGATAGAGACCTCTAGTTTGCGTTGTTGTTTTTCTTTTACCAGGACCTTTAAAACGAGGGGTCACTCGATGGCTCTTTGTATTTGAAATATTTGAGTTTCCCCCAAAATCCCCCATTTAGGGGATGTACACCAAGTGGCGGTTATGCCCAAAAAGTACTTCATAACATGCCATAAAGGTATGCCAAGTTTAGTTTTTCTAGTATGGGCCGTTAAAAAAATAACAGGGGGTCTCCACACTTTTTACTAACCCTGTATGTGTAATATACCAAAATATTTTATTTTCAGTTTTAAAAACTAACATCATGCAATATTACAACCAACTAATTTGAAATTTCCAAATAACGTTTGATATTTTAATTTATTAATTTAAACACATTTTTGACACATATTTTGGTGTTTTATGTATAAAAGTACTAATGCAGTAAAATGAAACATAAACATAATTGCACTAATTATTAAAGCTTCAAGAATAAAAAACAATCACTATATGTCGTATATAACAATAGCAAAATGATATACTACCATCACGTATAGGCCTACATCGAGCAGAATGTAGATAAATGTGTTTTATAACGCCATTAAACACAATTATAATCTTAAAATTCTGTTTAGTTTCAGAATCCATCAAAACGTTTTGGTGTTTAATGGAATTCAATATGCGGAAACAAAATTCATTAAAGCATTCATTACTGGACACAAAGTTGTCCAACCATTATAGATTCAATCAATTTATGCGACAGTAAATAATGATGGATGCACCATTACTATGAGTGCATTAAATTTTGGCTTAACAATGTCTTCGTGTTCCTTTTTTTAGTTAATTTTTTTATGATGTTATGTCAGCAAAATCAAGATTATCATCTTATACACGTAAGGTAATACTGTATCTTGTGTGTAAAATGTTAGTAACAAAAACATTCCAAACACATTCTTATATTATTTAAAAAAACTAAATAACAATTTGTCTAAAAACAAAGAAGTAACAAATAGCAGCCACTTTGTATTTGAGAATAAAAAGTTTTTTTTTGTTCTTTTGACAACTCATCTTATGAAATACACTACCCAAGAAAATTCTAAAATTCACTTTATCCATTTAAGTTTTTGAATGGCGGATCACAATAACATTTTAAACTGAATTGGCAAAAAAAGTAAAAAACACAAATACTTACCGAGAACATTTTTATTTAGTGTATTTGTGTTGAATCAGTTACTACAAAATAAACCGAAACAATACATAATATTACTTAGGAACACATTTCATTGACAATAAATCTGTGTACAGGAAAGCAACCTGAGAAAGTCACAAATCGATATTAATTTTCCATTTCCTTCAACGCCTCTTTACAATAAGGCGGAGATATTCTTGGTTGTTTCACATGTGGATATTAGTTTGGTCTCAAGTGCACTGAATTAAAAATACTTACCAAGATATTGTTCAAGTGATATTTATGTTCATGCACCATTTTTAAGATACTAAACTCAAAATTGGGATGTTCTAGCATTTCATACGTGCATTTCAACACAGTTTCATCAAATTTGAATAGGTTGAAACAAATTGGTTAAGAAAATTTATATTTAATAATATTAGTATAATGTATGAAATCAATGTATTAAATAAAAATACAATGTAAAATAATACCTAATTGATGAAAATTAATTTAATTTAATTTAAGTAAAAAATATATAGTATGACGTATCCTTTAAATGCTATGTAGTTCTCTAGCGAACTGGCTTCTAGGAAGCTATAAATAATCTTAAGAGCATCGTTTAGTTGTCTTGAGAAAGTTTGGATCTTTAGGAAAGTAAACTACGACTAGAAGATTACAAGATGGCAAGATAGAGTAGTGGATTACACTAGGCTTTCTGTTACCAGTGTTTCTGTCCTAAGATATAGGGATTATGTTCTGTCTATATTTCATCTTCCTCTCTCCACAACTCTTGAAGGGGTGTTGTCTTATTTCCAAACGCCAATGTGATAATGAAAAATTAAATTGTATCTTAAGTTTTGATTGTATTAGACATCTTTAAATGGTTTAATTTATTTGCATACTACATACATTACATATATGTAGTATAAAAGCTACATATATTCATTTTATAACTAAGTTAACTAAGATAAATTTGTTAAATTGAATCGGAAATATTTAAAGTTATGATTATTTTTAATTCATAATATTTTTGTATTTACAACAGTTAAATAAATTGGTTCATTCTCATTCTACTTTCACAAATAAGTAATTCTCTAAGAACATAAAACAGTTGTTTTAGTTTCTGTTCACTTTTTCTAAAAATCCACATTTCAACTAAAACTGTTTTATCAACTAAATATGGATACTAAAATAAAGAATCCTCATTTATAAACTCATTTAAAAGACTTTTGCAAATTTGATTACTCTTTAAAAGAAAAAACTCATCTCAAGCAGCTTTATTCTAGGTTTTCCTTTACAAGTTCCTTTGCAATTTTCTAATTTCACACTCTTAAGTAGAAGAGAGTCATCCAGTGAATGTTTAAATTGAAACAAAATATTGAAACACAAAAAGAACATTTCTTAAGCAGTTTGTTATTACGGCTGCTGAGCAGTTTTAATTGAAGCAAGTTTCAAAGCAGCAGATTCTTGTAGATCCTCTAGCTTCACGTCCTTTGCTGAGCATCTCTTTGCTTTTTGTCTGTTTTTAACTAGTTTTTGAAACACTTCTCGTAAAATAGATCTCTACACAAGTACTCTTTACTGTCAGTAGTTTTTTGTCAAAACCAAACAGTGCTTAGTTCACGGTGTCATGAAATATAATAGTGTTAATTAATTAGTCAATAAGTTATGTTTAAAATTGGTTTCAAATTATTAGTTTGCATTGAAAATTCTGAATTGGTGGAACCTTGATAACAAGACCCTCAATAACAAGTGTCATTTTCTATTCCCCTTGAATTTTATTTTGCCCTAATCAAATGTTATTGTAAACCTCAATAAGAAGTCGACCTTGATAACAACTCTTATTGAATAATCCTTTTGAGAGTCTTGTTATCCAGGTTCTACAAGTGCATTATTCTTGGTTAAAAATGAGTAAAGCTAACTAGCTTAGGGATTTCCTTGTGGTAAAAGACAAAAAAGTGTGAAATATTGAAATTATTATGTTTCTAAAGTCATGTACATCCGTTTAAAAACCTGTCAGTAAAAAGGCTACACAGATCATCTCCGTCCATTCTAAACTCACCTTACGTTCATATTCAACTCCCCAAGTGTTATTTGCTGTCTCAAAGAATTCATAATTAAGTAGACCTCTCCTAGTACTGTATTTTAAAATTTAAAGCTTGTCTGTCATGTCTGTTTTTGTCTTGAAATGTTTTTCATGGTAAATTTGAACGGTATACTCTTTTCTGGTTGACTTTTGGACGAGTAGTGTAAAATAGATGGGATATTGATGCAAAGAAAACAATTTCCCCCTGTTGGTCACCATCCGTCCATGCAGAAAAAACTTTAAAACTGTCTTAGATAGTTCCATACAGATTTTTTTTTTATTATGACGTGCAAAACACACAGTAAATAATTTTTAACAATACAACCGTTTGTCATAACTTGTGATATCTATAATCTACTTTACTGAGCTTGTAAAATATGAAGTGGGAAAATTTCATTATATCTCCTCCTCAGATAATTAACTGAAAATCAATCTTTAAAAAGCCATTTTTAAACCAAACACCCGAGTCAGCTGTTTGCTATGTTGACAAAACCTCCCCCCTCCCCATCAACATCCCCTCTCCCCTTTGGCAGGTGGTGAGTTTCCCATAAAGCTTGATAACAGCCTGTTTCCTCTCCCACAATGATAAACACTATTTTATGTCTCATTTATAAAACAATACGAATACAGCCTGATAGGCTTTCCTGATAGATCTGGTTCAAAGGAATTGTCTATGTTTGAATTTAATAACTTGTTTAAATTTTTATTTTTATTTCATAATTGTTCAAGCCAGTGTTTTTTTTTTTTTTTTTAGGTTGCTAAACTCTTTTAAGGGTGAGCAGTCCTAACCTCTTTATTATTTTGTAGTTGCCGGAATCAAACACGTTTCTCTTGTACCCAAGTGAAACATACTAATTATTCTACAAACAGTGTTATTACTTTATCCAATGTTGTTGCAGGACGCAATGTTAAACGCAGCGTCTCCCATACTGAGGGTAACTCGTGCGGGCGAAACTGCTTGGGGTCCTTTACCAGGTAAATGTGCAATAAATACTTATGATTTAAGTGGCCCACAGTTTAGTCTTTTATTAGGTTTAGTAGTATTTCATTAGTTTTATTATTTTGTAATAGATGGGTAACTCCATAGACAAAAAGCATTAAATATAGACCGTCAGCCGTGCAATGGTTACCATAGGTTCTGGCGCACACCACTGGGAGCGCCGTGTAGTTACGTAGCGCAGAGGCCGTGTGCGCCAGAACCTACGGTAACCGCAGCACAGCTGACGGTCTATATTTAATTCTTTTTGTCTATGGTAACTCACACCTTTCAATCTGCAGATTGTCAGTTCGATCAGTATCTTGGTTTGATGGACTCGGCCTTTCTTGATCATTTGACTTTTATTATAAGGCTAACAAAGCCACCTCAAACATCTAACACATGGAGATCTCCCAATCATACTTGAGTTTAAGTACATTTTAATATGCATCCCAATTTGATAATGGGGACTAATAATTGGCTTTAAGAACAAGCCAGGAGTAGTTACTTATTAGATTTACCTCAAGCAAGGCGTGCAAAAACACAAGAATCCTATTCTTATATATTAAATTGTTTAACGTGCTACCTCTTGAGTGTGACCATGTTAGCATGACGTCTTTTAAATCTAGTCTGTTGGCCTGGCTGATTTACAACCTGTTTTATAGCTTGGAATATTTTAAATGTTGCATTGTTTTTAGATTTAGTAATTGATATGGACTAGTCTTGTTCTGTTGTGTTAACACCTTGTATACACAACCTTTGAACTGAGTTTGGGCTGATGTAGTTTTTTATCTCATCTCATTTTGCATTTTAGAATATATTTCAAACTGTGTTATCTTATAAAACCTGAATTATTCTAAAAATTTAAATTGTTTTTAAGTAAACTTATTTCTCTTGATTAAGAGGGAGAGAAGACACTTGTAAACTATTTTTGTATTTTCCAGGTGATGATTGGACGGTGTTTACCGCAAACCATTCTACTTACGAACCTCTCGCCTACGCAAACAACAACAGCCAAGACTGGCTCGGGGACACTGATGAGAACGGACATCAAACCCCTCTCACTACAGTTATACAGGTGAGGTTTGTTTTAACAAGTTACTTATATTTTAGGAATATAAAAATTGCTAGACAATGGATTTCAAGACAAATGCTTGAACTAACTTGAAATCAAATAATATAATTTCGTGGCAGTTTGAAGGTATTTTTTCTCGTAATTCCTACAATACTGTAATTCTCTTCTGCGATCACAAAAATACTGCTATCATCTCCCACGATCATAACAACAATATGATTTCCATGATGGTATTGCAGAAATATCAATGATTATGTGCTTGATTGGCAAAACACGTGATAATACTTCCAAATTATTTTTACTACTCGACGGAGAACCAATGGAATACCGCTAATGAATAGACCCTCAGTCATAGGCTGTAAAAAATTCACGTACAATTACCGGTTATCTGGTCAACTAGACATCATGGCGAGTATTTCAGAACACATAGATTTGTTTATAATTTAAATATATTATCCTCAACTAGTGATTCGGATCAGCAATCAATAATAATAATAAATCAGAACTTCAACGCAGACCATCGTGTACCAAGGAATTGTTTGATATTCAAGATGGCCTTACCGCGAAGCAAGTTCATTGAATCATCTTTTTTGCCACTTATTTCTGTACTCGAAAGATTGTTGGTACTTATGCATCTGAGCATGTGCACTTAATTGTACTTCCACCATTTGCTGTGTGGGTGAATTTTATTTATCATAGTTATAGTAATGGCAGTTTTGCTTTAATTGTTTTTGTCATTTGTAATTGTAGCTTTGAAAAATAAAATAGTGGTTATTACGGAAAACAAACCCGCAGCTATAGGTTTGACCTCAACATGTTTACAATTGGACCGACTTTGCCATGGTCAGTTTGACACTTCAGGCTTCTGTGTAAATTTATCTTTGTAGCCCAATCCAACTGCCTTGTGTTGCAGGACCACGGCAGACTGGATGGTATACAGCGGGTGTTGTTTGGAGCCGGACTGAGGTTCTGGCTGCACAGGCTGTTGTTTCTAGACACGCTCAGCTACCTGAGTCACGGCCAGCTCAGCATCAGCCTCAGCAGACTGTTGTTGGTCGACGTAGACGACATCTTTGTGGGGGAGAGGGGAACGAGGCTGCGACGGGATGATGTTATGGTGAGTCAAACAATCTGTCCTTCGAGGAGGACTCCAGATATGTTGGGCATTCACGGTTTGGGTGAAAAAAGGTATTTTGGGAAAAATTATGGTTTTGTGTGACTTAAGGGCTAATTAATCAGGGCGAAAATCCAAAAGAGTGTGTAGGCGTTGTTAAAATCATACTAACACGGCTGCGGGCCACTCACCGGTGAGTGCTCTAGTTGCTTTCAATTTCTGCGCAACAATACATCAGGAAGAACGGGTATTTTAATGGCTGCAGCTAGGAATGGATTCTTTATTGTGGTGTAGGTTGGTAGTAAATTTCCCCGTAAATTCCCCTCTGGCAAGCTAAGAAATCAACTTGTTGTCCCGTCTTTCTCCCTCCAATTGGCAATACAATGGGACCGGCTAGTTCCAGACAGTGCTGCTATCTATTTGTGTTTTATCAAACTACAATGACTCTTGACGTAACGATGCACATCACCACACGTCATTTGCTATAAGTCAGACTGAAATATTTTAAAGTCAAATGGGTTCGCTCGACGCTGCATCTCACATGGGCTACGCCTGCCTTTGGTGGGTCGCAGCGAACGTGTTTAATCATTCACTACATAAATGAAGTTTTACAATTTTACAATTCTCAAACTATATTTTAAACTAGCTGTGTACCCGTTCTACGCACGGGGATCTTATAATATTCAGTTGAAACCTTCTTATATAAAGAACAGCAGTTGGTTTGCATATTTTAAGATATGCTGGCCAAACTATTATACATAGCTTCATTTTATGTTGTTTTTTGTTGTTCCGGATCGGTATGACAATCAATAAAAGGTTAAATTACCTCTGTGTCTGCCGGTCGATCCTATAACGGTAGGCTTACTTTTATTTTTACTATCTGATCTCGTTTGCATGGCTCAATCACGTCCTGGTTGAAGTTCGTTCGCTACGCTCACTCACCTGTATGTTGGAGCTCGTTCGCTGCGCTCACTTTCCTTCAGGTTAGCTCGTTCGCTACGCTCACTTGCCTTCAGGTTAGCTCGTTCGCTACGCTCACTCGCCTCCAGGTTGCAAATTAGCTGTTGTCATAAATGTAAAAGAAATAATAGTGCTAGTGCTGCACCCTGTTGGTAATCCTTGTAACTTTAATGCTATTGAACATCACAGAACAGAACCAACTTGTTTAATTGAAACAGCTGTTAAGATTCAATAATTTCATTTCTCATAAGGTTAACATGGGCTTCCAGAAATTCCACGTCAAAAATCGACAAAAACTTGATTTTCAAGGGTTTACTGTTAAATATCTAACTGTCTCATATTCGATGAAATACGTCTAAAACCATCTCATATATGTATAGTATTTGGAAAATAAGTTTCAGGCGGGACAGTGCTATAGTTATTGAGGAGTAGTTGTAATAAAGTGCGTATTTTAGCGTTACCAAGAGAATGACAGATAGACAGACAGACAGACAGACAGACAGACAGACAGAAATTGAGATAAGGTTTGATTCGGTTTCTCTGACCTATGAAATGTAAAAATAACCAAAAAGTTCATTATTCTAAGCAATGTACAGACAAAACTCTAATTTTATTTATATAGATGTTTGATGCATGGAAGGCAAGTGGAATACAGTATGACCAGGCAAGTGACCAAACAGTATGACAGTATGACCAAACTTCTACTTACGACTCTCTATGCAAGTAGTTTGATTATGGGATTCAGTTTCAAAATGTAAGTTTGATTTTGTTCTTTTATTTAGTGAGATGGCAAATTTCTTATTAGTTATCAATTGGAGTGTTATATTTTTGTTAATAATTAACAATTATTGTTCCATTTTCTTTTACTTTTCGCAAATATTTTTCCTATTTGGTATTATATTTGTGAAATAGGCCTACTTCTGTTTCATAAACTTCGGAATAGTTTTTAACGCTATCCTGACTGATCTTTATTTGGAATCTTTCCTCACCAATTCAATATATGTCTTATTTTTTATGTCTTAGTCTAATGCTAAGCAATAATGGTGTGCTTTCATTATGGTTTAGCCAACACCATTAGATTAAACCATTAGCCATAACCAAGCCATTAGATTAAAGTAAAATGTTGCTTATTTTAAACAAAAATGCTCCCTAATGTCTGGATGAATATCTGTTATTGAATGAGTTGTGCAGATACAAAATAAATTTACAAAGGATATTGGTTTATCTTTAAAAAACTATTTTTTTAATGAAAGAACAAAACTTGATTATTGCTTTGTGGTTTCAGGCTCTGCTTTCTACCCAGGAGAGAATCAAACAATTGGTTCCTGGATTTCGCTTCAACTTGGGCTTCTCGGGAAAATATTTCCATCATGGAACTGCCGAAGAAAACCAGGGAGACGATATGATTCTGGGTAAGTATTGAAATTTGTATGAAGCAGTTAAAGGTTAAAAGCTTAATAGATATTTTTTAAATGTATAGACTCGCAAAGATTTGCATAGAGTAACTTTAATAGTGTAATAATAGTAGTAATAGTGTAACTTGATTTTGTGTTTTTTTTATCCAATTTTCTTATAGTAATTGCAGCCGTTAGTGTATCCTAGAGATGAACTACTGTGTAAGATAGTGCTTAAGTTAAAGAGTGGTTTTGTTGATGTTGATTCATTCAAATGTATTTTTAATACAGTTGTAAATTTACCAACATCATATTTGAATGGAACGTGACATCATATTTGGAAAAATACATCTCTTTGCTTAAAGTTGTGTTAAGAAATAATTCGTCAACAGTCAATTACTCGATTTCTTTCCATGTAGTATTATGAATTCTAAACATTAAGTTTAATTAAATACCGTATAACTTGATGTTTGTTCAATGATTATGATTGGTTTTACTTAATCACTTTCGTAGTTTGTGTAACTTAACTAACTGAAAACTTAAAGTCAAACACCGTGAGCGAGGGACAAACAGCAGTTTGCAACATACACACGATAAGCGGAGCTTCCCCCCTCTCCCCCCCCCCCCCCACAGGGTTTGACGTAGTTCACCTGAGCTGTCTCTCTTGAATGTCATGTAAAGTGGCAGAACAGCCTTATTTATTCATCCAGAAATATAAACACCGACAAACCAAATTTCCATAATCTTTCATCTGTTTGCCACCTCAAATGAGAACTTTTTATCTTGAAATCCTTTGTAAAGTACAGTACAATAGTAAAAATTACAAATAATTTACTCTTTTTGAGAATTATTGTGATTAAATGTTTTTATTTTATGTTGTCAAAGTATTGTGATACTATCATGGATCTCGTTTAGAAAGAGTAATTCTCCAACATAGTATTAATATGTGCTAACAAACGGTTTCTTTCTTAAATTGCATTAATTGAAATCATGATTTCCCTAAAAATTAAATGTTCAAGTGTCCGTAGGACAACTAATAAAAACCTCTTTAACCTTCTGGCTTTTGCTTTTTGAAAGTCCCACCTTCATAACCTAGAATGTAATCTTTAGTCCGGAACCGTTTTAGGCCAACTTCAGGCTATTCCTAAAGGGTTGTGGCATTATCACCCAGATTCATTCATATCATTGGTAATTAGTGAAATTTGAACCTGGGACCTGGGGCCAAAGTCCTGTGCTCTCCTAGATTAGCTGGCTCCCCTGACTTGTACTTGGAAACAATAACTGTATTTAACACGTTATTTAATACTAATTATTTCAAAAACTTGAAATAAAGAACTTGATCAACATAGATAAACGTTTAAAAACTTCAAAGATCTAAAAAAATATATGTTAGAGACATCTTTTGCAACTACTCTATTGATACACATCCCTTTGATAGTAGGAGAACCACTATACAAGAAAAGAGTATCCAAAATAAAAGTCACTTCTTATTTCCGTCTCTGATATTTATGATAATTTTTTTAACCATGCCACTTAACACGTTCACTGCTAATGACGCACTTGTGCGTCATAAGTATATTAGCAGATATATAATACATGATGTATATAATTACATAATATATTTTAATCCACAATTTATAGTATAAAATGTATTTAATTAAAGGTATATTGTCACTCAATTAACATGATCATGTTAATGTTTATGTTTTTTAGCCATTTATAAAAGTATTACATATCATTAGCAGTGAATGTGTTAATATTGCACTAATTGTGTCATACTTATTGCAGAGAACGCACACAAGTTTACATGGTTCAGTCACATGTGGAATCACCAGCAGCCACACCTGTACGACAACCAGACTCAACTGGAGGCAGACATGACTCTGAACAGGAACTTTGCCAAGGTAAGCAACAACAGAGACTTTGTAAAGGTGTGCAACAACAGAGACTTTGCAAAGGTAAACAACAAAAGAGGCTTTGACAGGGAAAGCAACAACAGATACTTTGCCAAGGTGTGCAACAACAGAGACTTTGCAAAGCCAAGGACTTTGCCAGGTCAAGCAACCACAGTGACATTGCCAAAGTAAACAATGTCAGGGACTTACCTCAGGTAAGCAACATCAGAGACTTAACCAAGGTACGCAACAAATGAGGATTTGACAGGGTAATACACGTCAGGAACTTTGTCAAGGTGTGCAACAACAGAGACTTTGTAAGGACTTTGCCAGGCCAATCAACCACTGCCAAAGTAAACAATATCAGGGACTTACCTCAGGTAAGCAACAACAGAGACTTAGCCAAGGTACGCAACAAAAGAGGCTTTGACAGGGTAAGCCACGTCAGGATTTTGCCAAGGTGAGCAACAACAGTGAATTTGACAATATAAGCAACAACAGGGATTTTGCCAAGGGAATCAACAACATGATCTGTACTAGGGTAAGCAACAACAAGAACTTATCAAAGGTTTAAATACAGAATAGCTTCCAATGCGATTAGCAAGACAAGAACCTAACATAAATGTACTTAACATAAGGGGCGGCTAAAACTTTGCTTTCAGTAACAACAGTATATTGTAAATTTTAATTAGTCAGAAATATAATTGTTTACCCTAAGTTGTAAGTGAAACATAACAAAGAGAGCAACAAGAGGAGCTTATCAAAGGTAATGTATAAGACAGGAACTTGAGAAGGGTAATTTTCCAAATTAAGAACTGACTGAAATTGAGTAGACATAAAAAATCTTAAATGAAAATATTAGATACAGCTACGGTTTACTGCATTGATTCCCATCTAATCCATACATGTTTCCTCAGGAGCACGGCATCCCTGTGGACTCTGGATACTCCGTGGCTCCCCACCACTCCGGAGTGTATCCGGTCCATGAGCTGTTCTACTCAGCGTGGAAGAGAGTGTGGAACATCAAAGTAACGTCTACAGAGGAATATCCTCATCTGAGACCTGCCAGGCTGAGAAGGGGCTTTGTACATCGGGGAATAATGGTGAGAAGCATTTGTTACTTTTAGTGAGTGAACAATGCAAACCCTGAATTGTTACTTGATGAACATTGATTTGATTTGAAAGCATCTTCAATTAGTGGCAACTGGTTCCATTACTGATCCTTTATACAAATATCCTGGTACTTTCGGATTAAGATACGATAATAGTAGAATGAGCCACTAAAAAGTATTTCCTTCTTTGGTTTTTTTTCTTGATAAGGCTTCTACAGTCAAAGGACACCATGTGATCTTGGTCATTATAAGATAACCATATTTTTGAATTGGTAAAGTTAGTGACCGATGTATCAGTAGTGTTATAGTAAAATTTTCTATAACCCTCAAATAGTTCTGCAAAATGAACTGATATGTATAACATGTGTTTTTATTTCCAGGTACTTCCTAGACAGACCTGTGGGTTGTTTACACATACTATCCTGATAGAACGGTATCCAGGAGGCAGGGAGAAACTTGACGAGTCCATCCAGGGTGGTGAACTGTTCCAGACCATAGTATACAATCCTGTAAGTGCTAAACAATCAGACATAAAAAGCCCAAGGTTGAATATTGTGTTATTCTCTATGTGTGTTACAATAACATACCAACAGAGAATATTATCTGAATATACAGAATATTACTGTCTATATCTTAGGTGGTTTTTACTCATTCAATACAGCAATAACTGTATGTGAAATTTAAATTTTTTGTATTACTTTTTCCTACGGCCTTTATATACAAGCAACCATTTTGCATTTGATTATACAAGCACCTATTCTAACCTTTTCCAAAATTTTGGAGCCTACCAATGCACTGCACCATTATAGAACATTGCTTCACACAGTATTTATTATTTAGAATGGCCTCACTATGGTTACAGGTAAACATCTTCATGAGTCATATGTCCAACTACGGCAATGATAGGTTAGCTCTATACACGTTCGAGTCAGTCATCAAGTTCCTCCGATGTTGGACCAACTTGAGGCTGTCGTACGCCCCTCCGCTCCAGCTCGCTGAGAAATACTTCCAACTCTACCCGGAGGAAGCAGACCCAGTGTGGGGGGTGAGTTTGAGGATCATTGCTAAATTGATCTAAGTTTGTGATAAGTATTAAGTGAATTGCGGGAAATCAGGAATACGTCGCAAGTTAATTGTGTAGTGGTTATAGCACTTGCCTTCAAATCTGAAGGTTTCTAGTTCAACCACAAGCCTAGTAAATTTTCTAGATACCATTGAATTTAAGGTAAATTGAACTGAATTGAAAAGGTGTAATTTGTAATAAGGCTATCAATTGATTATGCTATCTAACATAAGGTTGAGGATGAATAGCAGCAAGGCCAGGGTTTGGGCTGTTCCCTACAAAAAATAAGAAATGCTGTTGGGGTAAATCTGAAGTATACCTGATGGAAATAGTCTGAAAATCAATTTAGTCACTGATAATTAAAGTTCCAGTAAATTTAGTCAGATAATTCTAGGTTAGTCAAAAAAAATGTTTAGGAGAAATATGTAATAACTTACCTCTAATTGATGGAAGGAAGATTTTTAGTTTTGTGTACCAGTAAGTTAAACCAAAAAAATAGCCTATTATAGATAGATAAAGAAATTAAAACCATTATATATTTTTCAATATCACCACAAATTGGAATCTCATATTTACATCCTTTAGAAAATTTAGTATCTGAAAAACAAAATAAAATTTTGACTTGTTCAATTTATTCCTAAGTTCATCTTTTTTCAATCCAAAAAGATGATAGTTCGGCTGGAGCTATTTGATTATAAATCACATTTAAATTTAATTTAGTCCATTTTAAAGTTTAAAATAATACAGATTAAACTTACACCATTGTTTCTTTTTTTCAGAACCCATGTCACGACTCTCGTCATATAAAAATCTGGTCGCACAACAAGTCTTGTGATCAGTTGCCTCGGTTTCTGGTCATCGGGCCGCAGAAGACAGGCACCACTGCGCTGTACACCTTCCTGTCTCTTCATCCCAACATCTCGTCCAACCTGCCATCGCCCGAGACTTTTGAGGAAATCCAATTCTTCAACGGACGCAACTATTACAAAGGACTCTCGTGGTAACTAAACAAATTTGTTCAAAACATATCTTTGTTGATGTTGATTGTCTGATTGAAGTCTTTTCAAGATTTATTGTCATTATATTAAAGTGAAATAAGTTACATGCTCTGAATAGTAGGCTACTAATATTTTAAACTATGGTGTACTGACTTTGTTTGGATGAAATACTGGAGTACGGCAAAAGTAAGTAAATACAGCAATCAGCTACTTTGGGTGCTATAATCAGTTCAAGGAATCCCACTTTTTCAGGTAACTGTAGGAAAAATATGTTTATTTAGTTAACAGTTTTTTTTTTTTTTTTTTTTTTTTTTTTTTTTATAAAGATTTATTAATTTCTCTGTTTTACAGAAAGTATTCATCTAAAAATAAGCTTAATCAACAGCCTAAATCCTAGTAAGCTGTTTTAAACTGTTAAACTGTTTTAGACAGAAATGTTTCTAGACCTCCTCAACAGTAAACTAACTATCCAACTGTTTACAGGTACATGGACTTCTTTCCAGCAGTGAAAAACACGACAGCCCAATATCTGTTTGAAAAGTCTGCCACCTACTTTGATGGTGAACTTGTGCCTAAGAGAGCACATGCTCTCCTTCCTGGTGCTAAATTGGTGAGGATCTAGCTATTATCTAGCCTTTATCGTGTTTTGACATTTATTTTAGTGATATTATCTTTTTGGTTAAGGACATTTTCTGAGGTATAACAAAAAATTGCATGAAATAAAATTGTATATCGTCGAATTTTCTAGTTTTAGATTATTGAGGATAGCTACTGAGAATATGTTACCTCAACCAAAGTTAGGTCCACAATTATTTCCGGCTCAAACCGGGCCAACTATTGGCTCCACCCGACCCTTAAATATTGAGGACCTGCAGACCCCAATATAATTAATAGCAAAGTTAATTAATTTCTCTACTGTTTTTTTATTTTTTTATTTTTTTTATGTACATCTTTTTTCTCAATACGAATAAGGTTCTTCAAGGGATGGTTAAGGAAAGATTAGAAAGTATTTAAAAAATTGGTTCATTAAACTCTTTCTCAAGCTGTAAAATGTTGTGCTGCAGGTGACAATATTGATCTCACCAGCCAAGAGAGCGTACAGCTGGTATCAACATACCAGAGTCCATAGAGATCCCGTGGCTCTCAACTATACTTTCTACGACATCATCTCCGCCTCGGACACGGCCCCTAAACATCTCCGTGACTTGCGCAATCGGTAAGTAGAATAGACTTCACATGTAATGTAATAATTTAGAAGCCAAGAAAATTAAGTTCAGGACCTTCTCACCAGAGGTTACTAGTGTATTGGGTTCAATATTAATTTAAATCAATGCAATATCATAGCAAACAGCTGATTGATTTATCACTTGACACAGAATATTGTCATTAGTTAGTCATTATTAGGTAGTCCACAATGCAGTCGACTATTACATGAGAAACATTTAGGAAATAATTTCACGACCAGTGGGATGTCACCCGAGAACTGATACCTGTGCTCTCACACATAAGTATAAGCACTTTGATGAATTTTCTAATATTACAAAAAAATCTCTCACATGTTCTGTAGTTTGTAACGTATCTTTAATCTTAGTAGGACTAGGAAGCCAAGTTGAAATGCTTGGATTGTTTCGTTGTTCAATTATTCTTATTTGACAGCTAGCTAATATTTTGTCATGAGCGTTTACTCAAACTCATCAAGGTGTCGGCTATTGAACATTTTGAACTTGAAAAATGAAATTGTTGTGTGAGGCTAATAGGTCATTGCAATATCATTATGGTCTTAATGTTGCTCAGTAAAACACTGACCTGTATACTGTTCTGTATAAAGCTAAAAAACATTGTAAAGCTAGCGTTTTTGACACTTCATCACGAGACCTCAACAAACACCAAAGTAAATAATGATGGCTAAATGTTATCTTGTGAATTCACTAGCAAAAGTAGTCAGATAGATTCTAAGGCAAAGTTACGCGGATAAATATTTTGTTCCGAATATTATTTGCAAAAAATAATCCAATGGAAAGACTGAGAATTGATTTTAAATTTTTAACAAAAATTATACTGCTACTGTGAGCTATTTTAATTGATTCTTAACCCCCAACAAAATCTAGAACTTAGCTGAACATATCTAGAGTACTGTATATCTATCTCAGTTGTTCGTACGTGTGTCCAATATCTACTATTCCCTGTGTTGTAGGTGTCTGAACCCTGGCAAGTACGCACAACATCTAGAGCGATGGCTAACCTACTATTCTCCTCAGCAACTACACATCATAGACGGAGATCAACTGAGGTCGAACCCCATCCAGATAATGGATAGTCTACAGAAGTTCCTCAAGATCACTCCCTTCTTTGACTACTCCTCCCATCTTAGGTAAAGTGACCTTGAAATTATTAAATTTGTTCTTGCTTACTGCAATCCTTGTCATTAACATTGTAAATTGTTATTTTATTCTTATTGGTGCCTGGATTTGTATTAAAATATGAATTAATCTTGTGACATTAATGGCCTTCAATTACCTGTACATTGTGGTTAGTGGCCCAGGATCACTTATTGGTAAATTTGGTTTAATTTATCTGTCTGTCAGTGATCCAACTGTTGTCCTAATGGCGACCGGTTTCAAAAAAAAAAATTAATCATTAGACTAAATTAAAATATAAAATCTCTCAAATTGAGATTGTCCGGGAACACGAACGCTAACGGTAATGTAAGACATCAAACATAAAAAAAACAAAGGATATTATACACAACTGACCAGTATAGGACACTACAAGGCAGCAAGTGTTGGATGTGTTGTACTGTCCTGTACTGACCAGTTGCTCAAAATGTCCATCCGTTATTTCGTGTTTTACATTTACAGTCACTGTGTTTGTGTTTGCCGATGATCTCAATTTGAGAGATTTTACTTTTTAATTGTAACCTGAAGATAATATTTTTATCTTAAACCAATCACTATGTAGACGACCTTTGGATTACTGGCAGACAGGTGAACTAAACCATATTACCTTAAATTTTATTGTATGACTAAAAGCTGATTTTTAAAGTTAGACTATGTGTGATGCCTCAATTCACTAAATAGTTGTTAAACTTTAGAAAATCTATATTACCATGCTCTCACCCTACAAACATTTTCAAATTCACTTCAGCTTTACCTACTGCTGTTTAGTACAACTGGTTGGTTATGTTCAGGTATGATCCGAAGAAGGGATTCTTTTGTCAGGTGCTCAACGACGATCACACAAAGTGTCTTGGCAAGAGCAAAGGACGTCTTTACCAGCCAATGGACCAGCAGTCCTACAAGCTGCTTCAGGTTATTACTCTACATTAATTTTTAAATGTAAATTTTATATGGTGTAAGATTATTTTATGCTTGTTTGAAGCAATGAAGTTAGATTGATCTGTCAATTAAGTTTCTTTAAGGTAGAAGCTCAGTGCTTCAGTTGGCATGGTAAGACCAATTTGCTTTATCATTTTGATGTTTCTGGAAGCCAAAAACACTATTGGCTCAAATTTTTACACATTTGTGTCTGTGAACACAATAGCTTGAGCAATTAATTTTGGTCCGATCTTGATGAAACTTGCCATGAATGTGTAGACCTGGGTAAACATGATTGAGTATGCAAACCAGCAGGAATGGGTTATGAGAACGAAGTAAAAGAGGATTTTTACATTTTCAATAATTATTTTTTTCTAGATTTTACAATTGAAACATAAATACAGGTGTTGTGTTTTAAATAAAGAATAGATTTGAATAACTTAATGAACTCATTTTATTAAGATGTAAACAGAAAAACAAAACTGTAAAATCAAAACATAAACAATCATATTAAAATAATGATCAGCTGGTTAGCAATCCTCCTCCTTTATTTTTCTTCATATACTTACAATCTTCTTATTTGGTCCACATGTCTTTTACACACAATTCCTTCTTCCATTTTAACAAGATAAATAACATTTCCTATTTGTTTTTCAATTTTTCCAACTGTCCATTTGTCATTTGAATTAAGGGAGTAGTTCCTCACCAGCACTCCCTCTCCTATATTAAAGTGTCGCTTTGTTACTTGCATCTCTGTCTCTTTCAAATTAGGCTTCTCTACTAATAGATCAAGTTCTGTTCTTATATTCCTCCCAAACATGAGGCTATAGGGAGACTTCCCAGTCGTGGAATGCTGTGTTTTTCTCAACTGTTTTAGTATAGTGTTAATCTTGCTCTCGACACATCCATTTGCAATTATAAGGCTCTTCACAGTTTGGACCACCCTTTCAGCTTGTCCATTTGACTTAGGACAAAATGGAGCTATGGTTTTTTGTATTATTCCATACCTTGTGAGAAAATCTTTGAAAGGTTTTGAAGTTAGCTGAGTTCCATTGTCTGATACCAGGACATGAGGAAACCCGAAGGTTGTAAATAATCTATCCAATTGCTTAACACACCAAGCTGTGGTTGTAGATTTTGTAGGTATAATTTCTACCCACTTACTGTAAGCGTCAACGACGATTAAGTACCACCAACCCCGCAGTGGACCAGCAAAATCAATGTGTATGCGTTCCCAAGGTCCGTTCGGGAGCTCCCATGGGTGAGTTGTCTCCTTAGGTGGATTTTTCAATTTTTGTTGACATGAATGACAATGTTTCACCATAGCTTCAATTTCTTGATCCATATTCCTCCAATAACAGTAGCTTCTAGCTAGCAATTTCATTTTTGTCATGCCCATATGACCAGCATGTAATTCTTCCAAGACTTGTTTGTGTAAAGTGGAAGGTACACAAATTCTATGCCCTCTGAATATGCAACCGTCTTGTAGACAAAACTCATTATCATTCAAACTGAGTTCTTTTAAGCTTTTTCCTGATATAAGATGATCGTATACCTTTTTAAGTTCCTCGTCCTTTTGTGTTTCTTCTTCAATTTGTCTTCTTGATACAGGCATCATCTCTACTTGATTTATTAGATACCGTTCATGGTCGTCACATACATTTGATACTTCTGTAACAGGAAATCTTGATAAATAATCCACATTAGCATGTTGTGTCGTACTTCGGTATTCAATCGTATAGTCAAAACCCGATAAGAAATGAGCATAATTAAAAATCCTTGATGCAGTCATAGATGGTAAGGTCTTTGTCGGGTTGAAGATGGCTACAAGGGGTTTGTGATCAGTTATTAAAACAAACTTCCTTCCATAACAGTATGCAAAGAATTTCTTTAAGCCCCAGTAAATTCCCACAGCTTCTTTATCTATCTGACTGTATTTGCGTTCTGTTTTCGTAAGCGATCTTGATGCAAATGCAATGGGCCTCTCAGATCCATCCTTGTATCTATGTGATAAGCAAGCTCCTAGCCCTGTAGGACTTGCATCTGTTGCTAGGATTAACGTTTCATTTGGGTCATAGTGAGCTAGAGTTTGATCACTTGTTATTTCTGCTTTTACTTTCAGAAATGCATCTTCACATTCTTGAGTCCACGTAAATTGTTTTCCTTGCCGTAACAAACCATTCAGTGGTTCCAGTAAGCTGGACATGTTTGGTACAAAACGTGTGTAATAGTTGGCAAGACCCAAAAATACTCTTAGCTGGTGTACATCACTTGGTCGTTTGGCTTTAATTATAGCTTCGATATTATCAGCAGATTTGTGTAAGCCATTTTCGTCTATGACATGTCCTAAATATTTGACACTCTTCTGGAAAAATTTACATTTGTCACGATTCAAGCGCAAGTTAAACTGTTTGATTCTTCCAAAAACTTTCTGTAGGCGATCTAATGTCTCTGAAATAGTGCTCCCCTGTATCAAAATATCGTCAAAAAAACAAACTGTACCTTCCAGACCGTGGAGAACCTTATCCATAAACCGTTGCCAAATACTTGGTGCAACTTTTATGCCAAACATCATTCGATTTACTCTATAAAGTCCCAGATGTGTACTTATGGTCTGTATTTCCCTAGATTCTTCGTCCATCGGAAGGTGTAGATAAGCATTACTTATGTCTAATGTGCAGAAATATCGACCTTTATTCATGTTAGAAAAAATATCTTCAATTCGCGGGATTGGGTATTTGTCGTCACATATAAGTTTGTTTGCCGTCACTTTGTAGTCAGCACAAATTCTTACGTTTCCATTTGCCTTTCTTACTGGAACAATAGGAGTTCCCCATTTTGAATTTTCAACTTTTGATATTATTCCATTACTCTCCAGTCTATTTAGTTCTTCTTCAACTGATTTCTTCAATGCGTAAGGAACTTGTCGAGGTTTGATAAAAATAGGTCTAGCTCCTTCTTTTAACTCTATGTGACCTTGTTCTGATGTAATTTTTCCGATTCCGGGAGTGAAAATTTCTTGAAACTCTGTCAATAGTTTGTCCAATTTTTCTGAACAATCACTTTCAACCACTTTGATATCTGCCCAATCCATTTTTACTTCTCTCAGCCACTCTCTTCCAAATATTGGCTCAACCTTTTGTCTCAGGACATACAACTTTCCATAGAAATTAAAATCTCTGTATTTACAATCGACAAAACAAACTCCAAGAGGCTTGATGATTTCACCAGTATATGTTTTCATTTCAACAGCGGTTTTGAAAAGACGTTTATTTACATGTAGTGATTGAAAATCGCTGTAAGATATTGAGCTTAACGCTGCTCCTGTATCAAGTTCCATCTTCAGCTTCTTTCCCTCAATGTCCACATCTATTAAAAACTTATCACTTCCAGATGAAGTTGATCCCATTGTATAAACCTCGTGGATCGATGAATGGTTGTCCTCAATATCAATTAAGTTTGATTTCAATTCCTTGTTTTTCCCAGTTCTTACATCAGTTCCACTTCTAGATAAGCAAACCCTTGAAATATGTCCAATCTTATTACATTTCCTACAGAATTCGTTCTTAAATCTGCATAAATTAGCCTTGTGCTGTTCACTGCCACACCTGTAACACTTGCCTCTTAAATCTTCAAATGAAACTATGGGTTTGTTTCCCTTAAATTGACTTTGTTTGTCTTTGTATCCAGATTGTAGGCGGTTAATGTTTGCAGTTTCTTTTAGCATTGTATTTCCATCTCTCCGGTTAATCTCATAACTTTCAGATTTAGATTGTTCTATGGAAATCGCAGTTTGTACCACTTCGTTGTAAGAAATTTTACCATCTTTTTCTTGAAGAAGTCTAATTCTAATTTCATTGTCTTTTAACCCCCGTATGAACTGCATTTTTAAGAACATATCACTTACCGTACTTTCACAGTTATAACAATAAAAATCACAGTCCGTTGCTAAACGTTTAAGTTCTCTGGCATATACGGCTATGTTCTCTCCAGGTTCTTGAACCTTGCAAACAAATTTATGTTGGTTAGCTAGTATGCTAGGTGAAGGCTCAAGACAATTTTTCAAAGATTCTGTGAGTTCATTGAAGGTTTTGTCACCTGGTAACTCAGGAGCTAATGTATCACACAATGTTTGGTGCATCTCTGGAGAAAGTGTACTGACAAACAAACATGTCTTGGTCTTTTCATCTGTAATTTTCTTTAACTGAAAATAGTTTTCAAGTCTCATCAAAAAGTTTTTAAATGTCTCGTTCTCTGTGTAAGGTGTAAAGTTAATGTTAGGTACATGGCTATCGTGTGCAACTGATATAGAAGTTGTGTGTTCATCTGTAGATTTGTTCGGTATAAAGAATGGCTGTAACAATGCTCTTATCTCTAAATATACCTCTTCTACATCAGCCCTGTAATCTTCTTCTTGTTCAAAATCATCTTCATCTTCTATTTGTAAAATATCTTCGTGTAGTGAGATGAATTTATGCCAAGCTTCCTCTGCTACATTTAATCTGCCAGGAGCATCATTGACTGATGAACCCTTGTTTTTTAATAGGTGTAGAGTTCTTGTAATCTGGCCTTTTAGTGCTCCTCTTTTATGTTTCAGTCTTCTGATATCATTTCTTTCATCACTCGTCGCCATTTGTTGTGTTTTAAATAAAGAATAGATTTGAATAACTTAATGAACTCATTTTATTAAGATGTAAACAGAAAAACAAAACTGTAAAATCAAAACATAAACAATCATATTAAAATAATGATCAGCTGGTTAGCAACAGGGTTGTTAAAAAAGAAAAGTGAATAAACGGTTGGTACGTCTATTTCCGTTTCAAACAGCTACACCAATGGAAAGGGTGTGTTGATAAGTTTATTTTGACAAGGTTATGTTTTGTCTCCGTAGCTTAGTTGAGTACCACTTTGTGTCCGAAACGTCAGCCTATAGTTTTACTCTGTCAACAACGCAGTTATCACCCGAAGACCTTTATTCAACAATATGCCGTGACTGTGGAAGCCTATCATCTAGATCCAATCATTATAGTTTACCATTAAGCCTGTTGAGTATTTTTTCTCAACTTTCCTCTTTTGTTTCACTTTGTAAGCGTTTTTATCAACTTTCTGAAATCGTAACTATGTTATCTCCAAACCTGATTTTCACCTTTTTCTGCTCTTTTACTATGTTCACAATATCCTTTCTACCATCTAATTGGCTGTTCTGATATTGACTGTGTCTCGCACAGATCAACTCAAAATTTTCCATCTTTGATTTATTTTAACACGTTCACTGCGCTACGAGATCCCGAGGTCTCGTATCGTACCTAGCCCGTAGTGCGGGACCCATAATATGGCTTCTTTCCAAAAACTACGACATCCATATTTCGACGTACAGTTATCGTAAAGAAATGAAACTTGTACATATATAATGCATTTTTCTTGGTGTATCAACTAGTAAATATGAAATGAACGAGATAAATAGATCTCGTAACGCACTGAAGTAATACACTTTTACTTTATTACGATACGAGACCCCTGGGTCTCGTATCAAAAATAGTTGTTCCAAGCACTACATGAGGCTAATGGGGTGATTAGTAACCATGATAACCTTTGTCGAATGCTTGGATGAAACAGGGAAACCAAAGAAATAATTCAAGAACAAAGAGAAAGAATAATGGCGTTTTTATGCTGTTATTTTTAATGAGTTATCTAATGTTTTATAGGTTTACATATTTTTTGTTTTCAACTATGGGAACATAAATCTTGTTTAACTATCGACGTGTTTCTCTTCTAAAACAGCACTAACGGATGCGTATTATAAAGGTCACTGGTAAATTACCTAAAATATCACGATTGTGCAATGTTGTATTTTTATGTAAAAAAGCAAATCATTTACATTAATTCGAATATTTCTCCTGGTCCCTACTAAATCATACAAAAATGAATGCTAAATAATCGTCAAACCGGACAAGCAATTTCCGATAAACAACTTTGTATCGTTGGTTTTTGTTTTGCGATTAGGATCCCTTTCCCAGCCCTTTAGGGAAGTGGTGCAGTCTAAATATAGCTTCAAGGTTGCACCCATCCCTTCCCCCCGCCCACTCGACTCACTGTTGGCACGCACTCATTTCGAGGTCATAGCCCAACCCCAAAATTATAACGAAATAAATACAGTAATTTGTAAACATATTTCGTTTTTATTTTATTTAGCCTGAAATCAGCCGTAAGGAAACGCATTCATAGAAAAAGTGATAAAAGATAAAAGAAAGATCAAATATATTTTTTATAACGGTTACGATTATAAGGAATTCGTAAATAAACAGATAACATATATTTTTCTTAAATTGTTATTGTAGGAAAAGAATAAATACAAATAAATAATGAACTATTACAGCTGTGCGGTACGAGATCTCGGGGTCTCGTACAATGACGTCATATTTACTTCCTGGGCTGGCTGAAGATTGTCAACATTGTACTGGTTCAGATAAACAAACATTCAGCGCTCTCTCGCCTTTCTTTACGAGGTTATGATGCGCAAAAGATTACTGCGCAACATAATCTCGGGGTCTCGTATTGCACCTGGGTAATCATAGCGGACGAGACCTATAGATCTCGTAACGCACCATTGGAATAATCCTGGAAAATATACAACGCAGTGAACGTGTTAAGTAAAATAAACTTAATTTTTGCACAGAAATTTCTGTATAATACGTAAAAGTTTGCAACCTATAACACACTTATTTAAAAAATAAAATACACACTTTTTTATGTTAACTTCTCTTTGATCCTTTCCAACATTGAGCTTCCATTCTGCTACTTATTAGATCTGTTTCTCTCGGTTTGCAGAGGTACTACTTGTCACACAACACAGCCCTCGTCAAGTTGCTGAAGAGGCTAGGTATCCGCACTGTGCCGCAGTGGCTCAAAGACGACCTGAGTGACACCCTGCCCACCTGACATTCTGCAGGTAAGAGCTAGGATCGAACTAGACGATCTGTTACCAGTTAGGGCCACAAACAACTGTATCGCTAGGTAAACCTCAGAGCTGCCTAGGGCTTACCCACAGCTACTTTAAGCCACTCGGGAATTAAACTCAGCACTCGCTAACATACCCAACTTGTTAGCCCACAAAACATACAAAGAACTCAAAGATTAGTCACAACCAAAAGGTAGAGTGGAACAGTGTTAATAAATCAGTATAATACAGAAACCTATATTTTGGAAAAGACTCTAAACCCCATTTTGAACAAAACTCTAAAGGCTATGTTGACTATATCCAAGGCTAAAAGCTTTGAGGTCCAGCTCCCCCAACAAGACCCTTGTTATTCAACTCGGACACAGCTGCTACACACTAAACTGACCCCTGATCAAGTCCACCAACCTACTTAAAGCCACAGCCTTCTGTAGGTTAACAAAATATATGATCAACACTTCCATCCTACTCGTACAACATTGCCAAACACTTCCTCTTCAAAATATTTGACCCCTCCTATTACACAACCTTGAATGAAAATGGAGTACAGTAAAGTCCAAAATGCATAATTTGGACTAGACTATTTGGCTAAGTAAATATTTATATTTTACTTTGATTTTCCCTCCGAAAGCAGAGCCGTTTCCAATTATTTACATATTATTGTTTTGTTCTAGGACGCTGGCAGCCTAATGTTGCTTCACTGTAAACGTCATGGACAATACTTTCACCATATCATTCGGCCCTCTCAAAACTTATTTTTATACAATTTTATCGCAGCTGCTTTTATCTTATCTTAACATTTTATTGATTGTTTAAAAGTAATTATTTTTATACCAGTCTTTACATCAAGCTTATACCTTTTTGTGGTGTTATTTTCATATTGTTTATGTCTATACACATTTCTTATATTTGTTAAGTTTTAATTTTTACTACACACCTGTGATATTTTACGTCTTTGTCAAACTTTTTATATTTGATCTTGCATGTTTATAGTTTAACACCTGCATGAACTTTGGATTTTATTTATGACTAAACAATATTTTGCTAGCCTCTTTATTAGTTTGTAAAGGTTTTTTGTTGAAACATGTGTATGAATTTGTGGCTCTAAGGTTAATTTAGGGAATATTTTTAACTCCCTTTATTTTTAAATGACAAAGTAGTAGTGTTTTGTTTTGGAGCCATTTTATATGTTAGAATTTTACACTGGTGAGATTAATTTTCAGTTAATCTCTAAACCGAGGGCCGATCAGACCAACTACTAGTCTTTAGCAATATTTCCCTGACTTTTATGAGTTGTAAATAAACTCTATCCTATTCCTGCCATGTTCATTGTTAGTCGTACACAGCTATTTATCTTGGACACTATTTGTATGGTTGTTTTTGACTTGCGTGTAAATATTTATATATATAAGGAAGTTTCAATGTTGGTCGTCGTGTATTATTTCATTTAACTCACTGTTGGACAGTATTCAGCCACATGAGAATTCCCGGTGCAAAATTATGCGTCAAGAATACTTGTATTTTAATTTTCAATGTGTAATTTTATTGCATTTAGTATCTTTTTAATATTTAAATTTTGTACTTAATTATTTAAAATATTTTATTAAGCATGAAAAAAATTAATTACAGTTGATGTAAAAAACTAATTTTTAAGTTTTCATTACATTTGCCTATTTTTACTATTTACATGATGTTAAATCAGCATAAATGAATACTGCCCAATCAAAAACTGATCCAGCACATATTAGTTGAGGACTAGAAATTATTTTTTTGTACCTGAACAAACTCCCCTACTTTTCACTCAGACTCAAGCAAATTTTGTGCCATACTTTTTAACAGGTTCATAAATTCTTTAGTTTTGAGATCATTTATAATGTAAGCTTCCAGTCCAATCTAGTGTTAAAAATATTTATATTTTGTTTAGATTGTAATTTTTATAAGGTATCGAGGGAATTATTTATTAGACCCTAATGAGAGTTGTATTTAAATGCAATAAATTAGTAATTTATGTTTAATATTTCTTTATTGCCTATAGAAGATATTAATCCACGGATCTAAAATTTTGTTGTTATACAGTATATTTCAGCCGGTATTGTTTTTAAATGTTTGTAATAGTTGGATTACTAGACAAAGTTTTATAAAATATCATCCAAATTGAGTGATGAGTTGTTCAAATTCAAGCGAGATTAGGTAAAATGTTACTTGACATTTTTATAAAGCCCTTTCCTAAAATAAATTTTAATGTACATACTAATTGAAATTTGTTGTTGCTGGACATGTTTTATTGTAATGTTCCAGATAGTATTGCAATTTATGTAAAAATGTCAATCTGTTTGACTGTACATAATTTAATATAAGATTTAAGAACTTAGACCGAGCAGTGGCAAAATGAAGAATAGAAATTAAAGTAAAATTTTCAAAATTATGTTCTGTCGATTTGCATTACGTCTTGAAAGGTTTTATGGGAGGTTTTCTTACTGTTGAAATGTAATACACACTTTTATTTTTAACACCCTCTGTCTTTTAGTATATTGTTTTTGCCAATTTTTCACAATTGATATAAATGTAAAAAAATTGTTTGCTGCTTCTACAAAAACCATTTTTTTTTTTTTTTTACCTAGAGCATGTACTATTTCTGTCGCTCAAAGAAAGGCAATATAATATTCTACAGAAGTAATTTTGCATTTAAAATTAAAACATTTATCTAGCATTTCATTTATCTCGGGGTGAGTTTAAGCATTTGAGCATTCATTTTTAATTACTTCTACATTTACTATGGTAAGGTTTGCATGAATACAGTACACTTCTTTTCTGATGAAAACAAATTTTAAACAATCAGAATTCAACATATAAAGATAGAATGTGTTTCGTTTCAAACAACACAATACGTTTCCAAAGTTAGTAAACTTAAGTGCTTTAGTGAACGGTAAAACCGTGTTTACATTAGACTAGTAGGCAGGCAAGTTACCTGCCTCTAATGTATTTCAAGTTACCTGAGGCATGTAACCTGCCCACCAACTGGATTCATGTAAACGTGGCTTTAGGAATACAACAATGACATCTATAAGTACCCATCAACCTTGAATAACTACCAAAATCATGACAGTGGATCAGCTATCCATTTGCCAAGTATACATCTTGTTCTGAAAAACAGATAACTTTTTAATTTGTACGTAATTACAGCATCAATAAGAAAAATGACAAAAGCTTTCATTAGAATTTTCTCTTCAGTTCTTATTTTGTTATTATTTTAAGTTATTCTAAAATACTATTAAACTTATTGCAGTTTGAGTATAACCATTGACTATTGTTAATAGTCAAAGGTATAACTTTTGCCACTGTAGTTGTACTGGTTGATGTTATCTATTACACGTAAATTTATTTGTATTAAATTAAGGCAGCAGGAAAATCTCGCTCTTGTGTTGGGCGAATTAAATAAAAACTAAATTAAATTGAAACGTCAAACACGCTCCTATATGTCTTTATTTTTATATAATTTTTGTTGATTTAAGTAATTATACATGTTATTAATATAAGAATCATAAATGTAAAAATAAATCATCTAACATTTTATTTGTATTTTTACTCTTTACCTTACTTAAAATTTGTAAAGCTTGATGACCCTTGTTAAATGTTTATCACTTTTGATTGTTTAAAATCAGGATATTGAGATTATGATATTTGGCCAATATCTACTGCGTCTTTTAGAGGTACTTGCAAGCCTAAATTTGCCTCTTAAAAAAAGACATTTTTCATTTCCGTTTGGGTTTTGGCCTACTTATTAGGAAACATTTTGTATGATAATCGTAAAATTGTGAACAAAACTGGTATTTATCGAAAAAAGAGAACAGCACTAGCTAAAAAACACAATCTCATCAGTCAGGAAACGAACACACGCTTTACTCCTTTAAGTCCTGAATCCATTTACCAACCTTTTATAGCAGTGATGACTGTGTTGCTAACAGACTGTATGGATAAGCCAACAATAGCATTATGCAACAAAAATGTAAGAAGGAAAACGTTTGGAATGTGTAGTATAGAAAATTTTATTCAAAAAGTGTAAACCAATTTAGCATCTACTCGCTTATTAAATTACTATCACATTTGTGTGATAGTAATTTAATCAGCGAGTAGATTGGTATTTGTACCAACAACTGCTAGTAGATACACTATAAAGTTACATCAAAACATTTTTCGCTGTCTTCTGTTGCAAGGTCAAATTTCTGTGAAGTGTAACCCTCGTACCCAGTGGCTGTTATATGATACTGTACAAACTTTGTATCGATGAATCCTCTTCTGATTCCTAATTTTACGAGCCAGTCTCCTGCCCTCATCATTTTAATTGTTGGCATTGTCCCTGGAAAACCAACGTATTTTCAATTAGGTATTTAGATTGGCTCATGGGTCATGCCAACCTAGTCTAGGCGTAGTTCTATAGGATCTTGTCAACGAGGGCTACTGGGGGAGCAAAGCCCCCCTTCCTTGGAACCGCCACTGTACCAGGCGGAAGGCTTTATTTCCAGTGTAGGGATAAAAGATTGTTCAGTCGCTATGACAACCAATCCTAGCTAGCATTAGACTGTTCCATGGTGAGCAATGTTAAGCACACTCCTTACGTAGTGAGATATTCTGCCTACCATGGTTACATAGATTCAAAGAGACAGTATTGGCAAGTATACTGTCTACTTCTCTACATCTTGGCAAGTTTTTGGAAATGTAGGGTCAACGTGGGTAATTGTGAACGCCAATGACTAATTTTTCAGATAAACGCAATTTACAAAAAAAATTTAAGCAATTTTGAAAATGTGGTCAGTGTTATAGAATTATACATATTTTGGGCTTAATATTTCATATAAGCCGATTTCATACCCTATTTAGTTAAGGAGTTATTCAGCATTCACAATTGCCCGGACGGCATTCACAATTACCTACAATTTTGGGGTAAATGTGAACTCAGTTGAGAAAAATATTAAATTACATACTACAGCATATGATGGGAATTGTGATTAAAGCCTAATTCAAGCTGTTCACAAATAACCCACTTTCAATGGCATGTGACAAAAAATAAGTGTGCAAATGAGATTTTTCCGTGGTACTTTGAAATAGTTAGAAAATCAGGTAGATGTAAAAATAACAAAAAATTGTCAGAATATTTAAAATTAATGTATTTAAAGGGTAAAATAGTATTCTTATACAAGAGAAAATAATATAGAGTAGTTATTTGATACAGTAGAGCAAAAGTTTAAAGGAAATGACAAAATAATCTCACTTTAACAAACGAAAGAGTACAAATTTGTTTAATAAAATTATTGAAATCATACTGTAATAGCAATCAACCATTAGAAAAGAAAACTAAATTACATTGGTTGGATAGAATAATTAGGCACTTTCCTTTTAGGCTATACAAAATAGGCCTATTACTTGTACTAAAAATGTTTTTTTGTAATCTTGAAAAACCTATTTAGAAATCAAATCATTAACTGTCTTGTCCGCCTACATCTCAAAAACTGGAACACAACCTGGAAACTTGAAAGTAATCTGTATTTTTTTATACAGTGTTTCTGGGGTTGGCAGCATAATTGGTTTGAAGAATAATCTTTAATGAGAACCAAAAATGTGTTTCTTTTACAGTCGGGGTAAAAGTGAACAGCGTTCACAATTGCCCCAAGATTAGGTTCACAATTACCCCCACATTATAAAATATTGAGGGTAATTGTGAATTTGATAAAATAAAAAGAAAATTGCTTACAGAGGATGGATTGAGGATATATAATGCATTATACATTTGAAATTCTTTCATAATTACTGGTTTTCATGTCAATGTGACTTTTACTTTTTTCACAAAAAAAATATTTGCAAAGGTCTACGCAACTTGTTTGTCAACGAAAAACGCAACTTTTTTTCCAACCTAAAAAAAAAAATTTTAAGCGGCTCTTAACTTTCTAGAATTTTTATCCTGTATAGAAAACAAACCAAATAAACATAAAACATCGATTTCTACTCAAATCAACAATACACTAAGAAATTACAGCCCTAGTTCACAATTCCCCCAGTTCACAATTACCCACATTCACCCTAATGCAAAAAACCTGAACAGGGTGAAACAAGTTCACGGGACGTTGAATGTTTTAAAACGTGGCATACGTTCAAAGAGTCCTTGAATTTGCAATTATTACACCTTACAGCACATTGTTTGAATCTTAATCTTTGACCGGATGCTCTGTTGTCCGTTTGAGATTGGGTTCGCGGCTTTGTATTTTACTCATTAAGACCCTTTAATTTATTTGAAATGCATTTACATCAACCTAAGCTTACATTCAGAATTTGTTCCGACTCCTAACGAGCTTTTCTGACCTCTCTTAGAAGGTATCATCACTGAATGATGTGTTAAAATGATTTTTAAGCCCAGTAACTTTGTTACAAGTTCTGAAGCTCTATATTTATTATTTTCTTAAATATTTAACCATTCTCGGGCTTTTTCAACCTCTATATACGAAGGAAGTGGATGTTAAAATTTGGTCTGCTTATCGTCACTACATCGTCTGGCTTTGCTCCCATTCTGTTACGAGTTCCTATTAGCAATTGAGGATACTGTATAAAAAATGGCCGAATGTTTTTAGGTATTACCACGCCACCTTTAACTCCAGGCCGCGGCCTGGTAGAATTGGCAACGTCGCAAGTAGTGTTGTTTATTGCCAGACGTCCCATAAGAGCTCATTAATTCTTAAGTATTATTCATTAAAATTTAAATTTATGAACATAAATTTACTAAAAGATTAAAAATAAAACATATAGAATTGAAAAACAAAACAATAAAAATTGAAAATCAATTTCTGTACATTTAAAATTAGAGCCAATATTTTCATCGCCCAGTAACCAAGCTTTCGTATTTTTAAAACATACACAGATACCATTAGCTGCCTCCAAACAAAACAGCTGTTACAACACTACTTGCAACGCCACTTCGAATGCCGCGGCCTGGAGTTAAAGGGGGTATTACTCATGTCAGTGATTTAAAGCTGCTAGATATTATGAGGGAAAATTTCAAGTATTCTTAACATTACTAAAACAAAAACCTATGTAATTTAGGCAATAAATAATTGGCTCACCCTTAAAGATGCCCATGTAAGCGATAAAAATACTCTGGTTAGAAAGTTGTTTGTATCTCTTTCCCAATTTAGGACTCACTGCCCAGCCTCTGCATTCATAGGTTTTTCCACTTCCTCCTATAGCAAAGCTGAAAGCTATTATATTATACAGAACAAGTAAATTTTAATTGCAACATATCTTCAACATATTATCTGAGGAAGTCAATAAAAATAATGTATGTTGGAAAAAAACGTATATTTGTTTATATTTTGGTTTGGGACGCTACTAAATCTATCTTACAGATATTTTTCACATCAAGAAAAATGAGTGAAAGCGTAATAATTAATTGTACTCTGAAGCATTGTTGGTTAGTTATTGCCCAACTGAGTAGTAAGATACAGATTTAAAGAAAAAAATGGGTTAAATAATCATGCTGAAGGTGTGCAACGTATTGACATTGTAACAATCTGTAGTTTAACATAAAATGTGTTTTCTTTATGAGTAAAAAGTGCCAAAATACAGGTTATGGCTAACCCAAAACTGGTAGAAGAGAAAAATAAATGTTTTACAATTATCTAGCAACCAAATACACAAATTTGAACGAATAGTGTTTTTGGCCTCTGGGGACATCAGAATGAAAAAGTAAATCGGTCCCGGGCCTAGGTCTTACTGTGCCACCTACGGTAATAGCTACTTCCCTTCCCTTGTATATGGCGGCAAAAGTTTAAATGAAAAATAGCATGTTGTTAATTGTACGAAAAAATTAGGGAAGTTATTCATTTAATGTTCTCTGTAAAACAAACACCAAACAATTTACCTATTAACATAAACACTTTGGGTGAATCACCCTGTAAACATCAGCACATATTGTAAGTCCTCCATGCATGTCCTATGAAGAACTTTAAGCTTAACTTTTGAACTAGTTGTGAGGATTTTCATCAGAACGACAGTGGAGTCTTAAGTAATTATTTTAGTAGACTAACTATATTTATCTTAATTGAAAACAGACTGACTTACTTATAAATAATATCGCCAGCTTCACGACTCATGTGTTTTTCTTGAAGTTTTCTAAGTTCATCCCTGCAAAACTGTTCTGAAAACCCATAACGTCCTTTGGTATATGTAAAGAAAACATTCTTGACTGGTAACTTTGTTGGTTCGATAGCTTTGTCAGGTGCTTGAGCTCCCCACCAGTCTCTGGGTGTTACGTAGAGAACGGTCATCTTACCTGATATGAATAGAAAAATTCTGTCCTTAAAATAAGAAAGGAAAAAGTGTTGTAAAATATGTGACACCTGAATAAATTTGTAGTTCACGTTAAATGCTTCAAACTTTCTAACGCGCGTCTTTGAATGTAAAAACATAGTGGTAAAAGCTTGTAAGCCAACAATTAACATCTTTAAAACATAAAATTATTGATGTTACCGTACTTTTTTTGTTACACAAGTTTAAGAACTTGACAAAGTAGACAGAATGACTTCTAATAAGAATTGACCTGCCTTTATAAATTGAATCTACATATTCTCTTGGAGTTTTTTTTTTACTTCATAATTGATTAAAATACGATAAAATTTACATACCCGATCAACCACTTTCTAGTGACCATTGTGTACAAACAATGAGTTTTACTTTGACAAAATACTAGTTCATTTTGTGATCAATCCACGTACTGTATTATCACATCACTTCATATTATGGACTGAGAGTCCATTTACCTAGCATAAAATATACTAAGAGAAAAAACTCACAAATTAGGTTAAGATTTAAAAAATAATCTTTTGATGACAAAGCTAATTTTCCATCTTATGATGATTTTTGTTATCATTTCTTATCAAAAGCTATTACAGAAAAAGATAAACTTAGTTATTTAAAACTTCTAGATACTGGTACAATGGACATCAATTTCTGGCTTGAAAACTACAATTGATACCACCTAGACTACTTTTTTACTTACTTTTTTATAAATATACGTGTTTTACTAAAACAAAACCACTAATTTCAGGTTGTGATGAGTGTTTCTTAGATAGTGGTGTAATTAAACACAAAGCCTGACACTTTGTATGTATTTGTTAGAAAGTTGAATTAATATTTTAATATTTTTTTTTTAATCCTATTTTAAACTAGGCCTAAACAAAATCATTATATATTCATTCTACAACTTTTTAGTAGGCCTACAATTCTCTATCCTACTAATATTATAAATGAGAAAGTTTGGATGTATGGATGTATGTTTGTGACAAGTGAACGCAAAAAATACTGGTCGGATTGGGCTGAAATTTGGCATGATGATAGCTCACATTCCCGATTAACATATAGGCATATTCTTATTTCAAAAATCCTTTCGGGCTCCGCCCCAGTGGCTCTGGAGTTTCCCATGTTAACCTTATGAGAAATGGAATTATTGAATCTTAACAGCTGTTTCAATTAAACAAGTTGGTTCTGTTCTATGATGTTCAATAGCATTAAAGTTACAAGGATTACCAACAGGGTGCAGCACTATTATTTCTTTTACATTTATGACAACAGCAAATTTGCAACCAAAAGGTGAGTGAGCGTAGCGAACGAACTTCAACCTGGAGGCGAGTTAGCGTAGCGAACGAGCTAACCTGAAGGCAAGTGAGCGCAGCGAACGAGCTCCAACCTAAAGGTGAGTGAGCGTAGCGAACAAACTAAAACTAGGACGTGATTGAGCCATGCGAACGAGATAATCTTGAAAATTAAGAAGTTAAACGGGGCAAAGCCCGCGGATTACAGCTAGTGATATTATATGTTTATATTTGTTGTTGTTGCCTGAGTTCCTGTTGCTTAGATGTTTGTGTCACCTTAGATGCATTTCACCCTGTGTGGCAACTTCTTATGATTTCATCTTCTTATAACTGACAAGAAAACTCTGCAGATGTCACACAAGCTGGCAAAATGCATCTAAAGTGATACAAACATCTCACCAACAAATCAGGAAATACAACGAAGGTAAATGTAATAATATAGGCTAGCCTAAAAGTTCTTGAAAACGGGATGACCACGAAAAGTTTTTATTATTTTGAAGCCTACATGAAAAACCTACTATTAGATGTAATAGATGGTGCAGCAACCTCTTAAATTAGTATACTCTATGTTTGCTCGTTGTTATAGTAAATATCTATCATACAACCCGTTCTTATGAAATGAGGGATTGGGAACTGACAGGGATAGGTAATTAAACTTAAACTAACCAAGTACAAAAGATTTATTAAGATCTATATACAGGAGCCTGGTTACTTTCTAGATGATATTGCAATCATTTTCATACCCTCTTGCACCTCAATTTCTCCAGCAGTATCACATTCTAGAATTTCAGGATTTTCTTTCCAAAACTTATCATTAATAATGTCACAATGGAGAGGTACCGCAACCATTCGAGGTTTTTTTCCTTTCTGTTTCACCACCTTCCGTACAAGAGATGTGCCTTTCTTGAATTGTTCAGGTTCATTATTGTAGTTAATATTGAATTCTGAGAATAAAATTTCATTTTTGTCAGACGACAATGTTCCACACAATTTTTCTTCGGCCTGAAATTAACAAGAAATTATCAAGTCATCAGAAATATTGTGTCAAAAAAGGATGAACAAGTTGTCGTTAATCTGAAAACATTATTACTTCGAACGATAAATTGACGTACAATACATGACAGATTATTCTACTATCTCTATTTGAAATAAGTGGAGGTAAATAATTATTTATGCCAGTAAAATAGTTTTATGACAAGCTTCATTGCAAATCTTTAAACTAGCAGAGCCCACATTCTACCACTCATAATCTAGGTAGTAGTTGCACATAAACTAAGTTAGTCAATTATAAAATACCCCTGCCCCAGCAAACCTGTAGACTAAGCATAGCCTAGGCTATATTTGAAATTGTCTAATCAGATTTTTACAGAACAATTTTAAATGTAGGCTGCAGTTTTTTTTTTTATTTTGTCCTTAGCCTTTAATCCTACAATAACGCTTCATGATTGACTATACGGTGGTAAACTACGTAACTTATTGATCAATAAGTTAGGTGGTCTACCGTAAAGGAAATGATTTTTATTATAGGCTGTTTCCAATTTTTAAAATGCATTAAGTTAACTTATGTGACTTATTATTTGTATGTAAATATACAAAGGTAAAAGACTAATGCTCATATGACGATAAATTAAAATGTCCCACTGTCCGACCTCTAATGGCCTGTGGATGGGAGATATTTAAAAAAAATATGATCAAACTAAGTTAGGTAGGGTACCCTAAGTTGAACATCAAAATACACACCTCTTTGTTGGACAGACCCTTTTTTAAAACGAGAGCCCAAAATACAGTGTTGTACAGGTTATTTACATGGACATCTGCTTGACGCCAGCTTAGATAATCCCTTAGGTTCTGATCCGTAGGATACAAAACTACTCTTCCATCAAAGGAAGGAGGGTACAGTAACTTCACTTCATCACCAAAATAGTCACGCCAATAGAAAACATAAGCAGAGGAAAATTTGCTTGTTACAAGACTCAGCAATTTTTCATGCCTTCTGTTGTAAACTTGGGAAGTCTTCTTGAACACAAAACTAAACTCATCACTGTGACCAAAACCAAAACATACTTCATTCAAATCTTCAAACACACTGGCAGCAGCTCTGGCCATCAAATCGAGTCCTCTTTTGTCATTGGGCCTTTCAAATTTATGAGCCTCTGAAAATTTATGGAATCCTTTTCCATCAACTCGAACAACAATCCAACAATTTAGCAGACACTTGTTCTCTGTTTCAAAATGTCTAACATATTCAAACTTTGATTTGGCCATTTCTCCAATGTGGAACGTTCTTAAGAAATATAATGAAGTGGTATTTAACCGAGCACGTAGTATCTTCTTGAAAATGCATAGGCCCACAGAAGCTTTAAACAGCATAAAATTCTAACCTAATGTTAGTAAATATTCGTCAACGATGTTTCAACTAACAAATTAAACCACCACTAAAAAAACGTATTTAGCTAGTCATTAATAGATGGAAGAGATCAGATAACAAGTATATAAAGTTAACAAGATAGAAAAATATGAAGAATAAAGTAAATAAAATATATATATAACCTTTAACGTTAAGTCCTAACCAAATACACATCTGAAACTGATAGTTTTAGTTTTATAATAACAAATTTGAGGTTATGATGAATTAAGTCAAGTAACAAACATCAACAAAAACTGACTGACTGAAGAGAAGAAGTAAAATAACAGCTAAACGTATTAGCAGTGTTGCCACGCCAGGACGGGAAAATTTTAATCTTACAAAATCCTCACATTAACCTCAACAAATACTTTTGTATTAAGACTTTGCTTTTGGTCATGTGTATGATCAATGGTGTCATAAGTTTTAGTTCAGTAAGGAAGACTCTTGGTTTTTCCTAAAAAGAAAAGCCATTGTTTAGATGGTTGTTTAGCACCAGGCGTCCCAAAAAATACACATAACAGACTGGTAACACCTCTTTAATTCGCGTTTTATTTATTTAAATTTAAATTTATGAAATAAATTGATTAAAAGATAGAAAAAACATACAGAATTGAAAATCTATATCCGTACATTTAAAAAGGAGTCAATATGTTCTTAGCCAACTAAGCCACGGCCACCCAGGCCGCGGCCCGTTAGAATTGGCAGCATCGCAAGTTAGGGTTGTTTAGTGACAGACGTCCCACAAGAACATGGCATACAGGTGACATCAGCTCATTTATTCGCACCTTATTGATTTAAATACATATCTATGAACATGAACTTATTCAAATATTGAAAATAAAACATACATAATTGAAAATCAAAACAATATGAATTGAAAATCTATATCTGTACAATCATAGATAAAACATACTCCCTTGTGTTGGTTAGTCTATGGTACAATTTAAGCGGAGTAAATATTTTCATTGTCCAGTAACCGGCAGTAGAACCACGCTTTCGTCATAGATAAAACATACTTGGGGAGTATGTTTTATCTATGCTTTCGTTAACACAATTTCAAAGTCCTACAACTCTAACAAAAACAATCGTAGATGCATGGGATCTGCACCAAGTAATGAAATGAAATGAAATGAAATGTCTTTATTGCTTTTAACATCATATAACATGCATTGCAATCGTCAAAATACAAGTAATTCGGAATTGAATAAGGAATTCAAATATATATTTGAATATATATACTCAAAATCGAAAATTGCCGACAAGAGGTCCCTATTCGCTTTCCACATTACAAATTAACTGAAAATCAGATCCTTCAAAATATATATTTGTATGTATTATGGTTTTACATGCCAACTACAGAAGCCAAGCCCAAATTTAATAGCAAATAAAAAAGAAGAAGAATGATTCTCTTATTCTAAATTTCTACGTTAGGATTAGAGGTTATGTCATGTTTATATTTTAGGTTAGGAGTCAAAATATTCTGTATTTAAATAGAATAGAATAGGCTAATCATGCCTCTTATAATTATTACTGGCCATCCATGCTGTGGGAAGACTAAAAGAAGCCTTGAGATAATCGAGTTTCTTCAAAAAGAGAAAGATAAAGTTGTTCATCACATATCTGAAAATGATGTTATAAAAACGACTGGAATGGATAAAAATGAGCTATATTCAAGTGAGTATGAGTTTTTATTAGGCATATAAGTTAGAGTAGCCTATGTGTTAATGGATATTACATTTTCTGATATATCTGATTGAAAAGTTACTGTAGGCCTAGCCTGATTTAAAAATAAAGTAAACAGATAGGCTAGGCCTATCATCTGATTTAACAAAGGTTAGAGGGGTACAGTTTCTTAACTGGGCTACGCTAATATCGATTGAAACTATCGAATTGAAAATATGATTATTAATTGATATTAAAAAATATATTAATATCTATTATAACATTAAACTATCATTACCTAACCTAACCGACAAAACTTGCTGATGGTGAAAAAATCGCATGAAGGTTTACTAATCGAATCGATAGTTTCAATCAATATTAGCGTAGCCCAGTTAAGAAACTGTACCCGAGCCTTCATATTTTCAAATTAAAACAAGCGTAACTTAAAGAGTTTACAATGTGAATGCTTAAAGCTAATGATTTTCCTTAGATTTTAGCTAGACTTTTAGCTGATGATTGAAGCCTAGGCTACCGGTAGGCCTACTTGAAAGTACAAAATGTGTCCTGGATGTAATCTAACAATATTTGATAACCACCGAACTTAGACAGGCTGTCCGACATCAGCGACCGTTTCATGAATCATGAGTTACATTCCTGAATCAACAGACATAGTGGGATAGCCTACTAACCTTTGACCTCTGGGGCTGTCTCCTGACAATAATATGGCTACAGACCGCTCTGCTCCTTTCTTATGTAAGTTAGTCCTACTTTGGGCTATCAATCACACGCCTAACTTAAGTTAATGGCTGATCACTCCGAAAGTGCCAATGAATCATTAGGTATGCTTGTTCTTTAGGTTTGATAATGACACTTTTTAGACGCTTGAGTTGATGATATCTGTTGGGTTGAAAAAGCTAAGTTAAGTTAAATTTGTATGGCAGCAGGATAAGTAAAAAAATATTACAACAATAAAATACACTGTATTCAATCAAAAGGTAGGCCCAGGGTATTACTCAAATACTTTTAACAGAAATGCCGACTGTACGAAGATAAGTATTTTGCCAAGTATGAATGGAGTTGAGTGTAGGATGAATGGCCTTATCTTACAGTCTTGTTACTGATTATGGCCGACATGTTCCTTAGACAGGACTGTTAATTAACAGCACATAAGTTAAAGCCAAATGTCATCCAAGCAAGGGACCTACAGTTAATATTGTAATCCGAACCACATTTTTTGTTTGTAATTAACAAATTGCTGTAATTATCAGGATAGGCTTAACTCACTAGTGCGGACGTTATAAAGTAACTTACAAAACAGTAATCTCTGGAGGCTACACAACTCAAGTTACCTTTTATTTGTAAGTTGTAATACTAAGCATATTTATATTAAATAAATTTATAATGTTTACATGGTTTTAATTTTTTCAGATTCCCAGAAAGAAAAAGAAATGAGAGGAATCCTAAAATCTGAAACGCTTAGGTAAGTTTGCTATTTCAAGTTTATTAAAAAAACTTAGCCTATAAAAAATCTTATTTTTGCTAAAAATCAATAGGTTGTTCACACTTTTGATATTTTTAGCGAAATTCCCTATAGGGAAGTAGCTGGTATTACCGTAGGTCTCATGGAAAGACCTAGCCCGGGACCGATTTAGTTTTAAATTTTGATGTCCCCAGAGGCCAAAAACACTATTCGTTAAAATTGTTATGTGACTGTAAACGTGATAACTTGAACAATTTTTGTCAGTTTTTGATAAAATTTCGCTTGAAGAAGTAGGGCGGGATAAACTTGAATGAGTTCAGGAACCTGCATGAAGGGACTATGGGAACTGGGTTTTATGGGGTAAAAATTGGTTTTTTTCATTTTTGACTCTCAAAACAAAAGAATTCCCTATTTACTTAAGTACCATTTTTTAGAGCTTAAAAACAAATAATTAAGTATACCTATTGAAGTTGTTTTTACGGTTAACTTATTGGTCACAGAAAAAATTGAAAAAAAATCATTTAAAGTAATTTAAAATTAGGTACCTTGGTATTCTTATGAAGAATAAGTAAACTGTTGTAGTTTGCTTGTTTAGGGATATATTTTGATCAAACTTGGCAAATTAACTTATTTTATACTAAGCTATTGATATTCTACTAAAAACCCCACTTTATTACCCTCCCTGTAGCAGCAAAACTAGATAGGGCCTACTCGTTTAACTGATAATGAAATAGATCTAAGATTTAATTGAAAATCTAATCGGGCAAATGGAAATTCGCTTAGGCCTAGTCTGCAGGTTTGCTGTGGCGAGGTTATTTTATATAATGGTCTCACTGTTTTAGGTTGTCAAAAGGGGTGCACATGCACAATTTACCGGTATAATTAAATACTTCAGCTTGTTTACTAATTTGAAGAAGCTATTTTGGTAATAAGATTCAAATTGATTTAAAACTGTTACAGATTGTTGGGTTCAGACAGTGTTGTTATTCTGGATGCAGGAAACTATATAAAAGGTAAATTATATTGTATAATCTTGTTTGATTTAAAATTTGCTAGACCTACCATTATTTATGTACTAGCCTAGTTTATGAAATGAAATTTGTGAATCTACATTTTTGTTTCAGGAGAATTTTACATTTAAATACACTGTCAATTAATAACATTACGGCGTGAAATGACAAATCAGCTTTGCGTATTTCACAGGTTTCAGATATGAGTTGTATTGCGCCTCCAAAAGCAGCAAGACGACCCAAGTGACTGTAGAGTGTTGTGCCAATTCAGAGCAAGCTTGGACGTGGAATTTGGATCGTGCAGAAGAAGAACGCTACAGCAGAGAAGCATTTGACGCTTTAATTATGAGGTGTGGTCTTTGTTCTGTTGTTGTGTTAACAATTTAATGTTATGTCTAGAGTTTTCTGGACTTTTTTTATTCAGTAGATCCTCTATAATTCGGCACTGTGCTACTCCAGAAATCTGGGTTTTTTACAGGTAAAATGGGAAATTCAAGTTAAGTCACGTTATTGTGTAACAGTTTAGTTCACAGTGTCTAGTGTGACTGCATTATGTCTATACGTCTAGTCGGGTGACCTCATCCTCTCCCGTGGTCAGGGCAAAATCCTGAATAAGTTACCCCTTGCTGTAAGAGAAACCAGAAACATCATCATTGTCTTACATGATTACGGCAAATTCATTGACAACTTTTGGCTGCGTTTATATTAAAATCGTCTTCCGTGATTGCCACAAAATTCTGATCATCTCCTGTGGCCATGTAAACATTATTATCAATTCCCGTGGTCAATGAAATGTTATCATCGTCATGCACAATCCCGGCAATAACGGTTTACTAATGTGTGATCTTCACAGATGTGTCGTGTTTTGATATCTGAATTGACATTTGACAATCGATTCTCAATATCAATAAGTTACCAATGTATTGTCAGTGCTCGATTTTCGGGGCAACGAGGTGGAACGGAGTTCCGGTACCTCTCTTTCGGGAAGATAAAAAGATTTGCATAAATAGGTACAGATCACATTAAATAGGTAACAGTTCCAGCACCTCATTTTAAAAAAAATCAAGAATTGTTTATCAATATAATGTGCCAATATATCGGTGCTATTGGGGAGCGAGCTGGCGTAGTGGTTAGAGCGCGGGACTTCAGTCCCTGAGGTCCCGGGTTCGATCCCCGCCAAGTCACCAATGGATTTTATCTAAGTGATAATGCCGCAACGCCTAGGTCTAGCCTGAAGTAATGTGAAAAACAATCCCAGGCTCGTGCCTAGCGTCTTTAGGACAAAAAAAAAAATATATATATATATCGGTGCTATCGGAGAATCGACACATCCCTACTTATAAAAATAGTTTAGGTAAAATAAAACACTTGTTTTGTTCATTTGAAGTGTTTTATTAAAGATGTTCCACTAATCCGGCAGTGTCATGGTCCTATATCTGCCTGATTACTAAGAGTCTACTGTAAACAGTGACGGATCCAGAGGGGGGGGGGCGAATACTGCATGTCAGTAGTGTATACATACACATTGCGTAAAATAATTTGTCACACTAACTTTGGACAAAGAAATAGTAAAAAAACTGCCGTTTTGGAGACTTAATTTACACACATTTTTGATGGGGGTACCCCCATACCCCCCGGTTTGCCCCCCTTGTGACTGTTCTAGATCCGCCACTGACTGTAAAGTGGGGATACACTATAAAGGGAATACACAGTATATGCAGGAGGTGTAAAATTAATCAGCTTACAGCAAGGAATATTTCAGTGTGACAAAGGGAGGGAGTATCTGGGGATAGGGGATTGTTCTGTGCGTAGACTGCTGGCTGACTTTAATATATATATCGTGCCTCCGCCCGGCCTGCACTGTCCACTCACTACTTGGCCTGCTGACAAAAGTTTATTAGCATTTACACATAGTAGAATATCATTTTTCCATTATTTTTCTGAATTGTATATATCGAGACTGTGTAAAACGCGGACTCCCTCTGTAATCCCACTCGTAGAGTATTGGTTTGTCAGGTATATTTTGCATACCAATATTGTAGCTTACTACTTTGTATAGACAAAGTTTATCTCTTTTAGGATATGAATTACTGAATCTAAAACAATCCAATGAGGAGTCATGTGAAGCAATATCCAAATTACAGTGGACCAATGTGTTCATTGAGTCAAAGAGTTCAATCATAACAGAGTTGATTAGTTAAGTTACTTCTTCAATCCTATTTGAGCTTCAAATATAACTCAGCTGTTATTTAACATAAGACTCCTGAGCAAAAAATCTTAGTCTGTAACAAAAATAAACAGGTCTTCCTACTCCATTGTACACTCACCCTGAATTTATTCCAACCTTAAATAATGTGCCCTGCGTCTGACTGAATCAACAACTAAAAATTACTTATTGAATAACCATTTGCTAGCAGAATTAAAATTACCTAGTCAATATACGTTCCATTTGTTTTGTTGATTGGAGAAAGTCTTAGCTCTCTAAGATCATCTAAATCAATGATTCCAGATATGAGACCCCAGACAGTCGTAACAGATGGGATAGTCCTCTGATAACTCTACAGCATGATGATGTCTTCCCTACAGATGTCCTCTTTAATGCACTGTTTCATCGGAAACCGCCACCACCAAACCAATCCACTCAGTGTGTAAGTTGCTAAATAAAATAACATAGACGTTAGATGTAATGATATCCTATACAAGTTTAGGGTAACATACAAAGTTAACTTGTTTCCAAAACTTCATTTCAACAATAATACAATTAACTTACCCAATCGTAACTTAATTTTACATTGCAGATTATGCTTAGCTTGATAACTAATTTGTTTAAGTTAACCACTCAGTAGCTTAGCTAAAAAAATAAATTGACTCTATATCAAATTTCAAACCACATTTTACAGCATAATTTTGATCTGTTGTTTGCAGTGGTAGCTTAGGGATTTTTCGCTAAGTCGTTTTATTCTTATGTAATCATTTTCTATGTAATTTTATATTATGTTTTCATAGTACCCTACTATTAGAAATAGAGCGACATCTTATTAAACATTTGTTCCAGGCTCCTCTGTCCTCGACTAATTTTCTCTATGAACTTGACAAAGTGACACAAGAAATTGTTGCGGTAAGTCCTCTCAAGTCTAAACTGTTTTGTTACCAACAAATTGAGTACTCAGCATGAAATAAGGATTTTCGACACTACCCAAAGATGAATGTCGATTAACTTATTTTTTTACATTTTTAGTCAGAATCTCAGCAAAAACGATTTTTCAGAGCCTACTTTCGGCACAGAAGATGGGTGCCTGCGGAGATGTAAAGGTTCCCGGGTACAATGATATTATCACTCTCCCAGACACTACGTTGTCAGCTGCTCAGCTGGCTAGACATCGTAGAGAGTTTCTGAAGTATACGAGTCTGAATCCACCGATCACAGGCCACGACTCAACGGCTAACCTGGCCGGAATGTTTATACAGTTTCTCAATACAACTCTGGCAAACAGCCGGTGAAAAACACCATTGTGTGAAATAGACATTTTGAGATATTAAGTTGTCCGATAGAAATTTGAATACTATATACAGTTTATCAATTTAAAACAAAACACAACTCATATTTTTTTAAACGTACAAAATTTTTAGAATACCAAGGGTTGAAGGAAAATGCTGTCAAATTTCTAGTGTATTTTTTCCGTTTCTAACACAGTTTGAGTTTAGTAAACAATTCCAGGTTTTCAACTAAGTTTTCTCGGATCCCATAAACTATAATGACTGCTCTTGCCTCAAAAGTGTGAATAGCCCATGAATTTTATGAAAAAGATTATACAAATTATGATCCAAATTAATTTGTACAAGAATTTATTATTATTTATTATACAAGAACTTGTTAGTTACTATTGTTACTAATTATTTTTTATATCACCCTCCTTGAAACTACTTTGTTGTAATCTAAGTGTAAATAATACTTTAGTACAAAATGAGAGGATTTTACTTATTTTAACCATCGTAAAATTAAAGTATTTGTAAGAGTTACTTAACCATAAAAATAAAATGAATTACAAGAAGAGTAAACAATAATAAAACGTTGTATTTATGAGTACGCACAATTCATTTGTTCATTACAACACTGTTCAGGATAATCAGGAATTTTTTTTAACAATGCTGAATGGTTGCACCGTTAAAGATTTGTTTCACAAAAAAATCTGTTTGTTAACTTGTGTAACATTTCAAAGGATTCTAGGAGTCTTACAAAATCAAGAATCAACATCTCCATCTTTTTTATTAGGCCTACGGTATACTCTTTTACGAACTATAACATAACCTTCTTAAAACAGAAGCACTCAAAAGATAAACTATTCACATTGTCTACATCTGACAGATTCTAATATTATATTATTCACATCAGCTTTGTACAATACATGTATCAAAGTTATTAAACAGTAACAACAACTTTTCCTCGTAAGTGTCCTTTGCTGACTCGATCATAGGCTGCAGGAAGTTCTAAAATGTTCATTGTCGTGTCGATTATTGGCATAAGCTGAAAACCAACAGTAGATTTATTTGACTACAAAAGATATGAGAGTAAATTTCAAAAGTGAGCATGACAGTTTGTTGAAAGAAGTAAAAATACTACATATAATATATCAGTGTCTCAATTGTTTCAATACAATGTTTGGAGCATAAAATACTCAATGAGAATGACTCAACTAGCTAATGAGAATAGCAAAACTTGAGTCTAGAAAGCAATGAAATCTTGTATGGTGAATGAGCAAATAATAAATTGAAACACAATACTTAAAGGAGAAATAGTATTGTTTAAAATTGAATTCAAGATATTTAAAATAAGCAAATGATATAGTGCTTTAAATGTTGTGTACTTTAACGGCCAAAATGAGAGATCAAATGTAAAATAGATGCAAATATAGTTATTTGTGTAACTAGTGGTGAAAGTGGCACTTTGCTGCACACGAGAGCAATGTTTACGCACGAGCCGCAGGCGAGTGCGGAATGATCTCGAGTGCAGCAAAGGCCTTTTTCACTCGTGTTACACATTATATTTTTCCTACAGTCATTATAAAGCATATAAATAATTAGTCTTTCAAACACTATACAACACGTTTTTAGGTTCAGCTGGCAACACAAATGGTGCCCTAGAGAAAGTAGTACCCGCGGTCCGTATCACTCCGTTATTTTACCTCGGCAAGAAATATGCTCCGCGTTTTGAGAATATAGTTCCGTATGTTTTTGTAATTTGAAGTGGTTTCCGCGCCTGAAAAAAAATGCTTTAAAGGTATTTTCTTGTTTGTTAAGATCGTAGGAATATTTTAAAAACGTTTAAAAGAAAAGTCCAGAAAGTTCAGAAATACCGAAACTATAAACACGAAATGACAGGTTAAATCGTAGTTATAATAGTCAATCAGCTGCTCATAGTATTATTATTTTTAAAGTGTTGCCAACCTATTTCCAAGCGTACACGGATTACGTGCATAATAGAACCACGCTGTTTTGTGTTGTTTCGTTGGAATCCTGATGTGCGGCAAAGTATAAACCGTACGGCAAAGTATAAACCGTACGGCAAAGTATAAATATGCAGCAATTAGCAGCTTTCTGTACTATAAACAGTACAAGGAAGCCAACTTTGTCAGGTGACTGTAGGAAAAAATATTTACAATTGTATAACTTTTAACTTTGATTCTTAAATTGTAGGAAAAAATAGTGCAAGATTGTCATTGTCTTAATATTCACATTTCACCCACTCTATTTTATTATTCATTGGGTTTTAGATAAGATACATAAAATGTGCAACACATCAGATTGTTAATGTCACATTTTGGAGTGTTAAGTAAACAATAAATGGTTTTAAGTTTATATAAATTTTAATTTTTGTTTTGCATTGGTGTTTATCCATAAAAATGAAAAAATGCACTTGCATGGTATTTTTTTTAACACATTGTAGCCTACTCCAGCAAACTAACCTGTCCGCTTTCGGCCAATCGTGATATTTCTCGGACGCCAGCATTGATCGGAGCAAAGTATCCCCAGCGCAGTGATGTCCCCCGCAGCAGTGCTCCAGTGGTTAGGTTAGGAACCACCAGATCAGCTGCGTTACGCAGCATTCCTCCCACCAGACCCAGCTGGTCTGTGTTACGCAGGAGAGGTGATCTGTGTGCAGAGATGACAAACAGTATAATTATAATATAATATTAACATATACAAATAATTATACTATAACTAGCTGAGTACCCGTCCTTCGTACGGAGTTGGTATACAATGCTTATTGTAGTTAAATACTCATGCTTAGTAAAGTTCTCACACTCAAGTTTTTGTTGCTGCTTGGTTCAAATTAGCTGTTGTCATATATGTATAAAGAACTAACTTAAACAGATTTAAGTTTATTGAAAATGGTGCTGCACCCTGTTGGTAAACCATATAATCTTTTAATGGTATTGAATATCATAGAAACAGATTGTGTAGTTGAAATTGAAACAGCTGGCAAAATGATTTAATTCCTTTTATGAATACTCATAAGGTTAACATGGGAAACTCTAGAGCCGTTGGGGCGGAGCCCGAAAGGATTTTTGAGGTAAGAATATGTCTACATGTTAATCGGGAATGTGAGCTATCATCATACCAAATTTTAACACAATCCGACCAGTAGTTAATGCGTTATTGAATTTCAAACAAATAAACAAACACACAAACTTTCACATTTATAATATTAGTATAATTATTGATAAATAGGTTGGTGTAATTTTTTAAAATGAACACATTGTCAGGTTTTTAAATGAATTACTTTGCCAAATCCAGGGGTTGGGGAACAGATTTAAGTTTATTGAAAAACAAATAAATAAAAGGTTTTGTTTATTTGTCAATTAATAGGTCCGTAAACACCACAGCAAATAATGAAATTATTGTAAAAAATAAATAAAAATGAATGGAAAAGTCATACATTTGTCCTCAGTTGAGCTCAAAATAGATTTGCTAAAAATTAGAATATTTTTAAGAATTAGGTTATTCAAGTATGTCACAATAAAAGCATTGTTGAATTTTGATAGTAAAACCTCAAGAGAAGACTCATATCAAGGTTCACATGTGATCAGGGGTAAAACAAATGGGGATTTGAAAATGACACTAGTTTAGTTATCGTGAGTCTTGTTATCGAGGTTATATTGTAGAAAATTCGTTGTTATTTTTTGTACAGACATAGGCGTATTTACGCCTTTGGCATTTTTCATGCTTTATTAAAGGGAAAGGTCCATATTATTATAGATGACAGGCCCAATCTGTGGAAAAGCTTTATCATTGACATTAATAATTTAGTTTTAGTTTACTATGGACACTAAGGTCACAGTGTTGTTAGTTATTAACACATTGAGTGCGGCCTACAATACCTCCCACCTCCACATTAACATTAACATAGTGCGAGACTGGCGTGCACGGCGGACTACGTTAGACTACAGAGCATTCCTAACTCTAAAGTATTGATCCAGTGTGAGCTCAGCCTCACATGGGGAACATCGTTTCGCTTCCTGCTTGCTGTGCCAGTTTTTTACTTCAACTCGGTATAGTTTGTTTTCAGATCCGACAATTTCATCGGTGGTGGGGACTGTTCCAAATTTAGTAGTCTTAGGGTTATGTCTTAGTGAATTAAATAGAGTAACAATAATTACTGTAGTGTAGCATTTTGGAAATAACCTAACCTCAAAATTGTGCTTGACATCTTTTTTCGGTATTTTTTCATGGCGTATCCGGGTTTTTCAGCCCTTTTTTTCCCTTCATATGGCAATACTGAGGGCCTGCTAGCAGTTTTGTTTAGTGCTCCTATTTGTTGGGTTCTTGTAAAACTACATCCTACAACGAATGGAACACAATACATGCTACAATATGGCTCTCATTTGGATGAAACCAAATTTAAACGTTTTCTTTTTCGCCCACTCAACCATGCAGCGCATTAGCCAGCGGCCACGTCCGGCCATCGCACAACCACACTTAACATGTGAGTTGTTTAACTCAACATCAGCTAATAGCTATTACATGTATGCGAGTTTGAACAATCAGGATGCAGATTTTTGGTGACAATCGGACATGGATTTTTTTAAAAGAAGAGGTGATAGCTATGTTCCGAAGATCAACTGGTTCTTTAGGTAGGATCATTTTTTCCAAGCCCAATCAAGGACAAGTGGGTTCATATATCGATAAGAGTAAAGTAGGCTTATTTTAAATGTCACTTGTGGTACCCCTAGTCACTAAGCCTACCTTATGCAAAGATGGATGCTGACAGTACAATTTATGCATCAAGATTAATACTACTATGAAGGGGAAGCAGGCTGGTTTATTGGTAAAACACGGGACTCTGGTCCTGAGGTCCCAGATTCAAATCTTGACGTCCACCAAAGGATTTTATCTAAGTGCTGATCAAGCCACAATCTGTGTAGTTCTACCCTGACGTACCGTAATGTCAAGAAACTGAAAAAATCCCGGACTAGAGCCTATCGTCCTAAAACAGGAAAAAGAATAGGCCTACTATGAAGAAAACAAACCTCAGGGTGATGTATTTTGCAAGCCTCCATTCCTTCAATAATGGCAGATACTTTGGAAATTCGTCTTCTGGCAGCCCAGCAGCATCGAGGATAACATCAAATCTGAAACAGGTATTTTGGATCAACAAAGAGTTTAATGTTATGAAGGTCTTGGTTTAGTTTAGTTTTGTAATCTTGCAATTTAGGTTAAAAACCTTAAAAATTTTAAGGTGACAAAAAAGAAACGTAATCAAAATTTTACTATTTACACCAGATGGGCTATAATTTTCATTCTTTAACCTATAATACATTGAATACTTTGAAAGCATCGCTTACTTGCCCGCTGCCTTGATGGCATCAAGAGCCGATGGATTTGTGTAGTCAATCACATGTTGAGCTCCCAGAGATTGTACTAATGGAACTGCATCTGTACTGCATGTGGCTACAACCTGAAATATAACAGATGCCATCAAATACAAATATTTACCATAGGCTGGTTATTAGCAATGTAATTCTCACATGGCGGGAAAAAGTTTATTCTGTTTTTTGCCATTACTATCAACTTATACACTCACTGGGACTTGCAAGTTAAAATTTACATTTAACATCTGAAAATGAAATTACCCCCGCCATAGCAAACCTACAAACCAGGCAAAATTACATTTGTCTAATTGGATTGTTATTAAAATATTTCCATGGACATGTCAGATTTGTTCTTATGTCAACAAATACCTGGATTTGCTGATAGGTTTATTTCCAATTTAAAAAACAATTATTTCAATAACTACTTAAATTTATGTAACAAATTGTTGTTATTTGTTGTAATAAAGTGTGTTTTTTTTACAAGTAATAGCCAACGGGAGAAGACCACCTCGAAGGCCTAAAAAATAAATGGTGGGAAAGCATGAGGACAAGTAGATAAAGGCATACGACCAGTAAAGATGGCAAGCGATTGTTGGCGAGAAATAAACCTAATCTTGCTGTGGTTTCCAATCTCGTTAGAATTTACGAGATACAGGCCGAAACATTTACACACTCATGCCGAATTTCATAGTCATAACATTACCTGTGCACCCCAAGCATTGAGCATCTGCACCGCCAATGACCCCACTCCTCCTGACGCTCCTAGTACCAACACGGACCGTCCCTGGGGCGACAAGACCATCAACTCGCCAGTGATCTTTAGAGCTGACCATGCAGTGAGGCCGGCGTACAACAGACAACTGGCCTCCGAGTCCTTCAACTTCTCTGGCTTGCGATGGACCTGCAAAATTAGGCTTAAGAAACAGCTGATCTTCTTCAGTAATATTACTCAGATCAACACATTCCATTCTACTCTTACGCGTTCACAACAGGCCTGTAGGCAGGGCAGGTTACGTGCCGTGTATTTCAAGTTACAACCCATCAACTGGCCTCATATAAACACAGCTTTACTCTGAATTTGTATTCGGATAAAAACATGCATTCAAGTGTGTCTCACTGTTTCACATTCACTAAGGTCACACAAGAGTCCTCACACAGAGGAGTGAGACAGCTGGTAGGCAACGTGTTAAAGTATTGATTGGAAATAAAACTCATTCATGTAATCAACTTGGAAAACATATTTTTTCATGGAAATACAACCTTTTCTTGAATCTAGTGAATTATTTAGATTTTTAGAGTGATAAAAACTTTTAACTAACAAACTCATCCAATAAAATGCTTTATTCAGCCCATTTGAGGGCTTTTTTGGCTTGCTAAAAATTAAAAACTTAATTTTACTTTGTTGGTTACCAACTTTTCCAGAGGTATTAATAGTTTTAATTTCTGTGTATTGTTAGGCTAGTACCTTTGACTATGAATATAACTAAACCTATACATATTCCATTCTGATTTTAATTAGAATGAGAATTAACATAGTTTAAATAGCGGGAGCCACTGACGTGCTATCAAAGTGTCACAAGTTTAGGGAAAATAGAATGTGAACAGTAATGAACATTACCACAGTTTTATTTACATTGATTTGTATTAGCAATGTTGATTACTTGGTTCAAACTTTAACTAAAATAACTTACCAATGTTAAAATTCATTATGGTGTGTTATCAAAAATAGTTGCTATATTTGAAGTTAAGACTTAGAGATAAACTCATTTACTCTCTCATAAAGTTATCTACATATTTTATACTTGTAAAGTCGGTTTGTCTTCTGACAGAAAAAGCTAATGTGTGTGTAACCAGTATGGTAGTTGAGTGAGCATAACAACTAGTTAGTCACAACTAAAAGCCAAATTTATTGTCTTCAAACAATGTCTTCAGAAGATAACAATCAAGTAAGGGTTATCAGAATAAGTAATTGTTAGCATGAATTATGTAAACCACAATTTGCATCAAAAGTTGTTTGTTAACTGATGAAACTGTTTAAATTAGTCACCATTTCATAACTGATGGTAGGCTTATGACAAATGCTACTTTTAATGTTTGGGCTGAATTGAATGAGTACTTTGGTTTGGTATTGTTTGTGGATAGGATTAAGTTCAACCGGACCTAAAATTTATAAATGATTCCACCGACTAAATCCTCATAATACTTATACTTTAATTTGAATTTGAAATGGTGACAATACAAAGGTTTTAAGCCAAGTATGAATGGAGATGAGTGGCACAATCTTGTAGTCTTGTTAGTTACTAAGGCCGACATGTTCCTTAGACACAGCTCATAGAGCCAATGGCAACTAAGGGACCAACAGTTTATAGTGGAATCCGAACCAAATTTTCCCCTGTAATTAACGAATTGGTCTAATTACCAGGATAGTACAGCGGATAGTTGTAGTACTCACTAGTGTGGATGTTAATCCACACCAGAGAGTATCCACAATGCATGCCTATAAATAACCACAATTCATGACCTGGTAGCTTGATTACTGGACGACACCTCGCTAAACACTTAGGCACTAGCACTCACCCAATCCTTGTGCACAATGACATACTGAGCATGACAGCCAGGTTTGTGGGGCGGAGACACTCCGAACACGCTGTCTCCTACCATCAGCTCACTACTGACACTGTTGCCTTTGGCCACCACTTCACCAGCAAAGTCCCTTCCGAGGATGAGTGGAAACTCCATCTCATTGGCACTGCATTTCTCCACCTGGCGTATTGTATTGAGAAGTACATGCCCGTAACTGCCTGGTGAAATGATTCCTTATGTTAGGTTACTAATATTAATTTATGGATTGACATGTTGAGTACGGTACCTATCTTGAATTGCCGGGGCAAAAAAGTCAAGAAATCTCAAATTCATTTGCCCTTCAGTATTTTTTCCTGTCATTAGCAGTTTGTGGGTTTTTGTGAGAAATTAGTCCAACCCAGATCTTGAGACTTAACATCGACTTGTTAGAAAGTTGAATTATTAATCTCAATCGACGACCAATAGCCTAATAATTTTCAATATGGTACAGTACAACCCCACTAATCTGTTACCGACGTGACCAGAAATCATGGTCGGAACAATGAAAAGGTCGTTGAGAAGCATATTAAGTGGCCAAGTTAATTGCTTAACTGACATTTATTGATTGTGCAGAAGACAATGACATTGTGTCCGTGACAACGGGAGATGTTATAGGTATATTTTGCAACGATCGCAGATCGCAGGAGACGACGATGATGTTTCCTTTACCGCAGGAGATATCCAGGAGTTTTGCTGCGATCGCAAGATTTGGCCACGATTGTGGGAGACATTGATGATCTCCACATGATGCAAACAGACCATGATATTTTGCCTAGGATTTTTACATGATTGCGGACAATGATGATAAATGTTTCAATGATCGCGGGGGATAAATAAGATTTCGATTTGCCACAGTTGTAGGAGACATTGATGATCTCCACATGAGGCAAACAGCCACAATAATACCATGATAACATTGTCACAGATGTCACTAAGGGATGGCACAGTTGGATTAAGCAAGGAGTCGGACTAGCCGAGGTCAGATTAGTGGGGCTCTAAGTTATAGAAGGTAGACATAGAGAAAGCTAATGTTTCAATGGCGATCAATTTTGACCAGATACAACGGCAACGTGGCCTTATTGAAGATTGACGGATGACATAGGCCTATTCAATTTTACGCTAACTAAGCTAAGTTTAGTGAATGATAAGAGAGTTTGTGATTTAAGTTAACCCTTTAAGTGCCTCAAGCGGGTGAAACAATTTTATTTGAGGTTTGCCAGGCAAAATAGTTGTTGCCAAACCCCTTCTCTCGCATTTAGTGTGATTTTCAGCCAGCTTTTTTGAAATGTGATTCTGTATGAAGCTATTTTCTGAGCGTCTCGCTGCAAGAGACCGGCATTTCTCGCGCAATCTTGACCGTCTCGCTACGAGACGCTCGGCACTCAGGCTACGACAATGGTGCGTCTCGGAGCAAGACACGGTGGCACTCACCCCTTACAAATGATTGGGAAAACTTAATTTGGACATAACTTAAGCTAAGTTAGAATTAGGCTTTTCATCTTAGCCAGAGATCCAAAAATGGCCTTAGGGGATATTTTTCCATAACTTAATTAACAATGAGAGCCTCTCGAGTAGCATAAACAGTAAATTGAATACTTACCCATCATTGCTACATCAATAGGATTGACTGAAGCTGCTGATACTTTGACTAAAACATCATTTGGGCTCATTAATGCGGGAATTCTTACTGATCTTGAAAGTTGAAGTTCTTCTAGACCTCCATACGAATGAATTTCCCATGCTGCCATTTTATGTGGTTCCTCTCCTTCAAACACAAGTTTCTCAGCAACATCTGATACTGCTGAATAGTTTTTGTAAAATATTTTTTTATTGACTGTCCCAAGCTTTTGATTATTTCTTAAAAAGAGCCTGATCAATACTGACATTGTTGTGGTAGTCTTCGTTAATATTAAGTCAAAACGATAAAGGTCTAGTAGGCTAGGTCTAGATTTTGGCTTGGTAAGTTAAAAAGTTACTTAATAAGTTACTAAAAAACTGTTATAAAATATAGACAATGCATCTCAACGTTAAGTATATTTTGATATTCGGAAAATTTACTATTTGAAGCCCGTACAAATAACACTCATTTGACAAAGAAACTATTCAATTGCCGGTATTGCTGATGTTTATTATGAAACAATTGTATGATCAAGTGTAGGGTGTAAAACAAGGTGTTCAACTAAACAATCACATAACTTTCGACAGACACTGACACAGGACAGACAACAAAACAAAACAAACTCTACAGACGACAAGAAAACAAACTTACATCAGCTCTCAGCTGTTTTTGTTGTCTTACAAAGAGATAAAACAGAAACAATTAACACCTGAAAACACACCGTGGAGTCTCATACCTTATAATGGCATAGATTATAATCGGGAATTTGTTCTACAGCTTATAATCTGGAAAATGTGGCACAGCGTATAATCAGTTATGAGCTATGCCCCCCTTTCACAAAAAATTATGAGCTATGCCCCCCTTTCACAAAAAATTATAAGCTATGCCACAATTTTTTTAAAACATTAAAAGGTATCAAATATTTTAAGTTTCACAACTGATAATGGCGTTTTATAGCAATCCAAACTCATGCAGGACTTTTCTTGAGGGATTGTTTTACTATATTTTTTTTCATGTTTTACCATTGAGTAACTTTAACACGATTTGTGTGTGATTTTTATTAATCATTGCAAGTACGGTAAACCCATAGACAAAACATCCTCCTCATGTTTTATCTATGTTAAAACTTAATAATGATACTAATACGGAAATAATGGTAATGTAAGTATTTCGTTTTTAAAAATTTCAAGGTTGATAAACATTTAATTTATTTCATTCTTGTTCTTTATTCAATGCTGGGGCAAAAACGTCATTAATTTAGTCCAAATTGTAAATTGAATATAAAACTTCATTGCTTTTAGCAAAACCATAGACTAACATAGAATACTTCCCATCACGGTCACCTTTAACTCCAGGCCGCGGCCTGGTAGAATTGGCAACGTGTTGCAAGTGGTGTTGTCTAGCACCAGACATCCCGTAAGATAACATGGCAGACAGGTGACAACAGCTCATTAATTCGTGCATTATTCATTTAAATAATTTAAATTTATGAACATAAACTTATTAATATATTTTTAAAAAACCATATAGAATTGAAAACCAAAAACCATATTTAAATTGAAAATCTATTTTTGTACATTTAAAAAGCCCATATTTTCACAGCCCAGTAACCAATTAAGCTTTCGTATTCTCAAAATATGCTCACAAATACAATTCATTACCTCAAAAAAAAAAAAAAAAAAAAAAAAACAGCTGTTACAACCCTACCATAGATGGAGTATGTTTTATCTATGACCCTACTTGCGATTTTGCCCATGTTGCCACTACGAAGGCCACGGCCTGGATTTAAAGGGGGCCGGGCTTCTTATCTCATTGTAAATTTTGAAGCTCTTTTTTCGTGTCTAGTTCATGTCCGGCGACACTGGTGACGAAATTTAGTTTCTATTATTTTCAGAGTTAATTTCATGATTTGTGCTTCAGTGTTTGGTTAACTAGAGGATTGAGTTAACGTTTTTAATTATATTGTTTTATTTGGTTAAATGATATAACAATAACAAGTAAACAAAACACGATCCCTACAGTGCACCGGACAGAAATATCGACAGAATTGTCAGCTGTTCCATAGAGATGGGAAATCTACTAAAGAAGTATGTTTTATCATAGATGTATAAAAACAGAAAATAGTTTAGTTTTATCGTTTTATCATAGACTAACCAACGTATGTTTTATCTATGGTTTATCAACAGAAAATAAATTGTACAACGAAGCTGCATAGCAAACTAAGCTTGTCAACCTAGAAAACCAGAAAAATAGACAGAGCTGAAGCTCTCTCTAACCTCTAATGATTGAAGCTAAATAAACAACATAAACAAGTAAACAACATAGTCTCAGTCTGCCACTCTGCCTCTTAAGTAGTGTTAGTTATTCTACTTTGTCCTCCGGCTTGGTCAATTTGGCAATTTGTGCATCAGTATTTATAGTTTCTGTGAAGATATTAGTTTATTACTTTTTAGATATTAAATTTAACACTTCCGGACTGGACCTTACCATATTATAACTAAGCTTTAGAATTTGTTCTCTTGCTAACCTCAATATTCACTGATGGGAACTTATATCTATACCAAATAGTTTTCTGAGTGATACTCAAACAAAATAAAGGAACATGTTTACTATAAATAAATTTTACTCTACTATTAATGTTTATAGACGGGTTTTCTCATCAAAGTCAACCAAGAAAGTTGTTCAAATCTCCAATAACAAAACTCCAAAAGCTCCTAAGCCCAAGGTACTTTATCATTCAACATTAAGTTTACAACTTTGTTAATTTTTGCTTTCTGTTTTCTTGATTACTTTATGTTTGTAAAACTTAATACTTTGGAAATTGCTCTATAAATTTTGCAAGGCTGCGATAAGCTGTGGGAAATTGTCAATAAGTTTAGTTATAGTAACAATAACAACATACTATGTAGGCCTACCTATCAAATTTATTGGTGAGAGGTTAGGCTCGCTTAAGTTATGTGTCTTGATTTAGTTTCTTCAGTGCATTCAAACTCCTACACCGTCTTATAGAACGTTAACCAACGAATATAAACTCAACTTAAAAGCATTCTTCATTTACCTGCAGAGTTTGGATAACTTACCCGATTTTAACTATATCACTTAAATTCAAATAAGTTAGCTAGGCCTACCTAAATTACAATGGAAAAAGTTTGTTAAAGAGAAATCTTACATTTCCCCTGCACTTTGCTTTCCTATTGTGTGGTAAACTTAGAGCCTTCTAACCAACTTCATGTCTCTAGAAAATAAAATGGGAGAAGAGAATTTTTTCTGGAATCCAACCCACTGGAGTCCTTCATCTTGGAAACTACTTTGGTGCAATTGAGAAATGGGTTGAGCTTCAAAACGAAGGAAACGATGTTCTATACAGCATTGTTGACCTGCATTCTATTACTGTTCATCAGGTAGGCATCTATATAATTAATACGCTACATGAAACTTTGTCGGTTGAACTCCTCCGCCATTTCTTAACCGATTTTATCCATTGACGTCTCATTGGAAAGAGCGTGTCGCGTAGATTTGCAAACTGGCCTTACATTTTTGAAAGAGTCCCTTGGGCTCTGCCCCAGTGGCTTTGAAAGATCCCATGTTATCCTTATGAAGAACATAATTGTTTACATTTTGATCAGCTGTATAATTTAATTGCTGTTATTTATTTTTCAATTCAATGAAGCGCATTGAGTACATTTATTTACTATTTGAGTTTGTGTAAACATAACCCCCAAGACGGATCGTATTAGTATGGTTGTTGTAACTTAAATTTGTGCATTTATCGTTGTTTTGTATAGCTATAATTTGTTTATTTGTTGTATTTCCTTTTAAATGCCTCCGACGTGAAGACAACGAAACATAGACAAGAGGCGTAATCGTTATAACGACCGCAGCTACAGAACAGTGGCGCGTAAAGGGCGTTATTATATTTTTGTTGTTTATGTTTTTTGTTCTTCATTATTTTATAACAAGTTGCAGTTTTGCTCGATTTCGAGCAACAGGTTATCTAGTTTAAACTAAAAGCATGTTACTAAATACTGGTACTTAACTAAATAAATGCTCTAAAATTAAAATATATAGCCTAGCCTAAGTCCAGAACTTAATGTATACATCTAAAAAAGAGGTATAGGCCTAGGCCCAAACTTATTTAATAGCCCAATGGCTTAACATACCACTATTTGAAATGAGAGGCCTTTTATTGATGTGATGAATGGAGTAGGCCCTACTTTCCTGACTTGATTGACTCAACATGTAAGGTGCCACTGGACTCGAGTTATGAGTCAACCAACAGATCTCAACTGGGTCTGAGGTTGGGTACTTTTGGCTTCTCTGTGCGGAATCGTGGTTAACGAGGTTCCCAGATGAGTCAAACTAAACTCTATCAGAGTCAGTCGATCAACTCGCGTTTTGTCAATTTATTTATTGGATTACATGTCAGTACATCTTAATAACAGGACAAATTGTCAGTGGTTATATCTAAGACTTCAAACTAATAGATGAAACTAATAAGGCTATATATCTGCTTTTACACAAAAACAAATTATTGCCTGTTGGTTTTGTGAGTCTGACTCTCATTTGGCCAATGGCAAGTTAGTTGTTTCGTGAGTGGTACTCTCTAAGTTATCACCCAATAATATTTCAGTTTTGTAGTTTTTAAAGTCAATTCGTCAAATTTCTTAAGTTTGTATAAGTTAAGTTCTGCATTCTCTGCATGAATTTGTGGTTTAACAAGTTGACTCAATCCTCTAGGCTACGGTATCTGAATGGAATGACTAGGGTACTTCGGATTAAAACTCATGTGAGTTCGGGTCTGGCTAGATTTAAAGGGTTTAAAGCAAGCTGCAAGTCCTAACTCAACTTCAGTTTACTTAACTTTTTAACTTGCCTCGTCACATCCTAGAAAGTAGACTACTACTGCCTTTTAAATGCTCTCTTTGTCTTCCAGGATCCAGAAGAGTTGAGATCAAAAATATTGTTGATGGCTGCCAGCCTTATTGCTTGCGGTATCGACCCAGCAAAGAGTGTGCTTTTTCAGCAATCCAAGGTAAAACTGTAGATCAATATTTGGTTATTGCTGACCATATTGATTTTCCTAACTTAGCCTAATTCTTTTCTGTTTTTAAATATCTGTTGCATCTTAGATCTATCAGACATGGCTTTAACTGTAAGACTGTATACAGAAATATGTTCTTAGGTTCACCAGCATGTTGAACTGGCGTGGGTGTTGTTTTGTAATTCAACGATGGGAAGACTATCTCACCTTCCTCAGTTTAAAGAAAAGACAGCCTCAATGAAAGAAATCCCTCTTGGAATATACCTCTATCCAGTTCTCATGGCAGCTGATGTAATGCTTTACAGGTAAGAGGGAGCCAGTTAAGCCTAGGCCTACCATAGTTCTGTAAAAATTGTGACTTCCAGCTTCTATTCTTATAATGATGCCAAAACCATTAACTCCTAAAGCCCAACAGTGGGTGACAATGGGACATTATCCCAGAAAGAGGACGAGTCCTGCTGAAAGATCGGACAGTGTTAAATAAACTACAGCACACATAATCAGGATCAGAGAAAGGGTCTACAAAGATTGTGCGATCAACAGTTTACGATAATGCTATGAACTAGGGATGGACGAGATTGGATTTTTAGTTCGAGACGAGACGAGATTTTTTATTTCTCATAAAATTTCGAGACGAGATCGAGACGGGATTTCCCTTCTCATACACAACGGGAAATGCACGTTCAAAATTTTTACCTGATTTTGTAACATTGCTAGATGACTGTTTAAATACAAAAATAATGATAATAGGCAAGAATATTTACAATCTTTTATTAAAAAACATCAGCATAACATTATTTTATTAATCACGCCTAACTTATTAAAAATGCCTACAATTAGGAAACATAGTGATATCAGTTAGGATAGAGTTCAACTTATCCTAAAATAAAATAAATCATAAAATAAAAGCAATATTCATTTTTATAAAATAGTTACTTATTTTGACTTTTTATAGTAATAAAACATTCCTCACACTGCTTACACTTAACAAAACTTCTCAAATGTTATTTAAGTAATATTATTAAAATAATTAAAGTAATATTTACATTTAAAGAATTAATTAAATAAGAACGCCTTCGCAAAGGAAACGCAACTACAACACGCTCCTGTATTGCGGGTATTGCATTTACTTTCTGCAGGCGTTTTTAATTTTTTTTTAAATTATTTTATTTTTTATTCTCGTCTCGATAAAAATCTCGGCCAAAAAGAAATCTCGTCTCGTGTAACGAGATGTAAAATTTCCCGAAATTTCGAGACTTGACCATCCCTACTATGAACGCAGGTGGTGACGTCTCCCTGAATTAAAAAAATATTCCTGTTATTGTGATCACAGGAGATGTAGATGATGGTGCCGCGATCGCTGTAGACGATGATGAGGTCTCCTTACAATATTTACAATTTTATTGCGATTGCGGAAGATAGTGTACAATATTTTATAAATAAATTGTAGTTATTAAAAAACTAATACTTTAAAAAGCAATCTGATTTTTGCCTGAGATCCGAAGGTCAACATTTTGACCCAACCCAAGCTGAAGTAAATTATTCATAGTCACGGCCGTAGACCACTAATGTTAAAGGGACAAAAAACAAAAGCTTAACTCTGGAGCCACAAAGTATTTAATCTCACATCTACTATTCCAATGTACCTATAAGTTGATTGAAGTTTAGCAAGATTACAAACCTTATGGTTTATAGCCTATTTACAAAATCCTTTTAATAAAGGAAATAAGAATAAAGCTAATTCATCTGTAAGTTTGAAGAGCGAATGTAAGTTCCTGCAGAAAACTTAGAGATAATTTAGATTTGCCTCAGAAAGCCCATACAGAATTCCGATTTGAAGAATTAACTTCATGCAGTTTTGAGAGAATAAATAAATAAACTACATTAATTGATAACAAAGCTTTTAACAAGACAACTTAATGTGTCCAAAACATCATTAATACTTAATACTTATAACACCTAATTGTGTTAAAGTTAGTTAGGTATGAGTTAGGAATAATAATGAAATAACTTAAATCAGGAGAGAAGATATTGTTAGGTTGGTAAAAGCCTCAAGATTAAGATGGATTGACCACAATATAATTGCATTTGCAACGGATAAGTGACGAATATTTAATGTTAACAATTTTTTATAATGAATATAAATGTGTAGGCCTATTAATTTTCATATAAAGCCTAACTAATTTTGTATGTTATCAGAATTAAGGAAACTTTGTCTAAAACAATTGATCGTCTCTTAGGGCTACCCACGTACCTGTTGGTGAGGATCAGCTGCCACATATGAACCTAGCAGTGGACCTGGCCCAAGTTTTCAACAATCGCTATGGGGAAACTTTCCCCGTGCCTGAGATAATCATCGAAGGTACTGGATTGCTTGAGGTTAGGCTAAAGACTATTGTATGTCTTCTAGATTGTTTTTAAACCTATTTTGTACTTTTGAGAAATTTATTGGTTAAAAACTTTCTAATTCAATGACTGAAAATTCACGGATGAATCGATTAGGTCAAATATTACTTGTCTGAATAATTCCACCACTTATTAAACCTAAAATAAAATTTTCTTATAGGTAAAAAAATATGTTTCTAGGTTTCTACCTAGTAAAATACTATTACAGAAATTTATAAGCTAATATTTTTGTTCATTTTACTTGACTACTTGTTGTGTATGATCACAAACCTTAAGTAATAGCAGGCCTAGCTTGGTAAAGATAATTTTGTTTCCTTTAAGTAATGATAACTTTATCCAGGCTTCCACAGTCACAGTTGATTTTCAAATCTAGGTCTTCAGGTGATGACTGCGTTGGCGGATAGCTGCCACAAAGATAGCTGTTGCGGATCCGAAACGTCGACATCAAGTTTAGCTCATTCAACAAGTCAATCAATCAATCAATCAATAAAATCTTTATTCAATATTAGTACTCTGTACATAGAATGGTGTCAATATTAATGAATACTAAGATACATTATAACTAAGATTGGTTAATACTAAGGCTGTCAAAACAAAATATATAGTTATATGCATGAAAAGAAAAACAGAACTAAAAACTTTCTTTACACATCATTTTTACATGGGAATTCGGAGAAAGAATATAATGTTAAATCAATAAGATATTTTTTTAGTTGATTTTTGAATTTATTAATATTTTTCTCAGATTTAATGGCTTTTGGTAACATATTATAAAATTTTGACCCCATATACATTGGCTTTTTTTCATAAAATCCAAGTTTATGTTTGTCAATGCCAATTCTATTCCTGAATCTTGTATTATAATTATGAGTATCTCCTACAAAATGAAGTTGGTCCTGACGGTTTTTCACAGAAATTATAGTTTCATAAATGTACATTGCATATACAGTCATGATACCAATTTTAGAAAAAAAGAGTTTTACCGATTCATTATAATTTAATTTTAATATAATCTGAATTGATTGTTCCTGAATTTTTAGTATTTTGTTCAAATTTTGAATGGAAGTTGCCCCATATAATGAAAGACCAAAGGCGATATTTGAATGAATATAGGCGAAATACACTATTTTCAGAGTCTCTGTTGAACAAATTTTTGAGAGCCTCCTTAGTGCATATACCCCAGAGTTTAATTTAGAAACTAGATTATTGACATGGCTGTTCCAAGACAAGTTGCTGTCTATAGTTAATCCTAAAAATTTAGATTCATACACCTTCTCTAATTCAGTTTCATTTATAATGATGGTAGGTGACAGCATATTTTTATTATTTTGATAAGTTTTGAATTCAATGAAATTTGTTTTAGCAGAGTTTAGTACTAAACTATTATTTTGGAAAAACTGATTTAAAAGAGCCAGGTTTGAAAATGATGACAACTCAACCTCCTCAATAGAGTGCCCATTTATTTGAAGATTGGCGTCATCAGCATAAAGACATAAGCTATAATTATTATGTAATTTTGGCATGTCTTTTATGTAGCATGTGAATAACAAAGGTCCCAATATGGACCCTTGAGGAACACCTCTTATTACCTGTTTAAGAGTGGATTTGTATTTGAGCAATCTATTGTTATTTAAATTTAAAATTTCTACAAACTGTTGTCGGTTACATAAATATGTACTAAGCCAATTATATTCTTTCCCTTCAATCCCAAACAATTTCAATTTATGTAATAAAGTCCCATGATTAATGCTATCAAAGGCTTTACTCAAGTCCATAAATATGCCTACAACTTTCTTGCCTTTATCAACTGAGTCGATCACAGATTCAATAAACTCTGTTGCTGCAGTTACCACTGACCTTCCTTTACGATAACCATGCTGGCAACAATCAAACAACTTGTTAGTTTCAAGGTACTCAATCAGCTGGTTCGCAACAACTCTTTCAAAAATTTTTGAAAATATAGTGATTAGAGCAATTGGTCTAAAATTATCAACTTCTGATGACTTCCCTTTTTTAAAAATTGGTTTAATTTTTGTTATTTTCAATATTTGTGGAAAAATTCCAGTTATCAATGATGAATTGATCAAAAATGTAATGGGTTTAATCAATACTTCTTTTGCTTTTTTAATTATTGGTCCAGGAACTTCATCATACCCTGTGCTAAAACTATTTTTGAGATTGCTTATTATTTTATCGGTTTCTTTTTCATTTATTTCCCTAAACTTAAATTTTTTAGCTGTATATTTTTTATCATTTTTGTTTTCATTGGTGTGAAGTTTATTTTGTGATTGACTTACAAAAAAGTTATTAAAAACTCAAGTGGTCATCATCCGAAGACTAAGATTTACGATGATAACTTTAAGCGATATTGAGTCTTTAATATTTTTCTCTATTAATTAGATTCTGCACGAAACAGAGTGAGGAGTCTGAGGGAACCGCTGAAGAAAATGTCGAAATCTCACACAGACCCCAAGAGCAGGATAGAACTTACCGATACTCCTGATCAAATTGTTGGGAAGGTAAGTGAATGTTATAACCAGTGGCACACCTTGAAAATAATCACGGGGAACTTCATGGGTGTTTCCCCAGACATTTATTGTTTTGAAATTTTAAGTAATGTAAGTTTGTTCTAACTTAGCTCTTTGAAAAACAAATTTTGATTAGGGGCAATAGGAATGTAAAAATACCTAGAATGGAGTAGCACTTTGCTTCTAATAGCTCTCCATGTCTGAGCGTCGACACCTATTGTAAAAGTTTGATTTGTTAGTTTGTATTTGATTAAAAACGAGTTTGTGATTTAGTGATTCTGAAGAAAAGATTTCATTTTAGCATTAAAGGATGATTTAGCTAGGACGTAAAAAACATGAATACTATGCACATCCTACCAATATACGAGGAATGTATTTGGGTAATACCATAATTTTGGCTTCAATTCTTGCTATTATTGTTGCTCTCATCGATGGTTGGAACCTAAGAGCGACTAACAGCACAGCACCTACGTAAATGGGCAAGAAAGCATGTCTGTTTAAATCTTAAAGTGCTGCTATGGTGACAAACAATTAACGTTTTATTGTTAAAAAACTCTTTGCCATCATAGTCTGCTCCCGATAATTTTCATTATTTTTGTTAGCATGTCTTACAACCACTGGCTAATCCCACAACTTACATTTTTAGGTTAAGAAAGCAGTGACTGACTTCACATCAGCTGTTTCGTATGATCCAGTAAATCGCCCAGGTGTGTCTAATCTAGTTGCGTTACACGCTCTATCTGCTGGGAAAACCTTTCAACAAGTTTGCGATGAAAATGCTCACATACAAACTGGCCAGTAAGTCTTCACTGATAAATTAAACTGTTATAAATTAACTTACCAATTTTAGGTATATATACAACTAAATGGTAGGAAACAGTGCTCTGTATTGCGTGAATGGCTGTGCTTTTGTAATGTCAAGTGATTCATCAAGATGGACAGTCATGAATACAATCACTGTTTAATAGACAAAAGTATCTTTATTACTGAACTCAATCTGTGTACAAATTCAAATGTAAACAATAACAATATTAACATAATATGACATATGATTATACACAGACAAAGGAATACTTTTAACCAAACATGCCCCTTTTCACAAATCTAATTTTTTTGGAGCTTTGACTATCCTGGTTCTGGTACGTTCAATGAAGGGTCGAATATACCACGAATTACGACGCAACTTTCTTCCATTTACTTCAACAATGTATGATCTGTTTCCCAGCACATCAACTATTATACCTTCTTCCCACTGAAGGTTGGTAACATTCCTGATCAATACTTTTTGTCCCTTCATGAAAACACTGGCTTTATTTAGTGCTGTTTTATTATACTGCATACCCTGGCCAAGTTTGCTTGTCACTTCTTTATCATCAATAATCCGTGGTTTAAGTTTTGATGGTATTACAGGTAACTTAGTGTTCAGAACTCTACTTTGAAGTAGTTGCGAAGGAGAATACCTAAGATTCGCAACTGGAGATGACCGATAATTTAGAAGATATAAACTAAAGTCTGACTTTTCATGCTTTGACTTTTGCAACATTGACTTAACTATGCCTACTGCTTTCTCCGCAAGTCCATTACTGCGAGGATAATGGGGACTAGTAAACTTTACTTCAAACTTCCACAATTTACTGAATTCAATGAATTCTTGAGAGTTGAATGGGACATTGTCACTTACAAAAATACTTGGTATTCCAAAACGAGCAAAAATTGGCTTCAATGCTGCAATGACAGTTGTTGCTTTTTTATCTCGAATACGCTCAACTTCAATCCATCTTGAGTAATAATCTATTAACACTAAATAACTTTGATTGTCGAAATCGGCTATGTCTGCTGCTACCTTGTAAAAAGGCATGTCAAAAACTTCATGAGGTTGAAGTGGCTCTTTCAATTTTGCTCGCATAAACTTAGCGCAAGTAGCACAGCTGTCAATAAGATTTTTCAAATCTGAAACTAATCCAGGCCAGTAAACAAGTTCTTGAGCTTTCTTCTTTAACTTGTTGAATCCCAAGTGAGTTTCATGGAGTGTCTGTAAAGTATATCTTCGCATAGATGGTGGCACTATCAACCTTTCGTTAAAATACACTAGTCCATCTTGAACTGTTAGGTCATTTCGTATTCTAAAATAATGCATTAGTTCATGGTTATTTGGCGAAACTTTGCTGGGCCAACCTTCTTGATAAAACTGCATAACTTTGTATAAGGATTCGTCTTCATTTGTAGATTTTATGTACTGATCCATTGTTTTTACATTTATTGTAACTTCATGAACTGAGTGAACAACATCCAACATACTTTCATCTTCTTGTGATTTTGTAGGAGCACACTGTCTTGAAAGAAGATCTGCAACATATAGTTTATTTCCTGGAACAAAATTCACAGTGAATGAGTACTTAAGTAACTTCAGCCGCAACCTTCTTAAACGGAATCAGTGAATTGAAAAAAGTACCCGAGTCAATTTTCGCAACTTTCGGTAAACGTAAAAAAACTGTATAAGTTTTGCATTAACAAAAATATAAATGCATAAAAAATTGAGAATATTATTTTTAGTACTACAAAAAAGATAACAACACAAAACTACAATTTTTTATGAGTTGTGTAAATGAAAAAAATTTAATAAATTTTTGACTGAGGTCCCTTTTTGCTCTCAAGTCAAGTTTTTTTACCAAGATTTCTTACACCATACTAAAAAATGTCAATAAAACCATTTTAAAGGAACACTTTTATTTACAAGGATTTCATGTACTTTACTGACAGATATTATGTGCAAAATTAAGTATTTTGCCAGTTTAAAGTTCTGGATTTTTACTCTTCGTACTTCACTCAATGTTATCTTGCTCGTCCGTCGTTTCCCAGTTTAGAATTTCATCATAGAATTGGATGTGTTCGTTTGGAATGTAACTATACAATCTTCTCAAATCAACAATCTTCTTTCTTTTAATGGGAACAAAACCCCTCGGATAAGCTTTTGTATCTGGTAGGGTGAGGCACAGGCCCTTTCGCAAGTTAAACGTATGCAGTGTCTGAAAATCTCCCGTTCTTATATGCATACTTGCTTTGACAGTGCCTTTTTCCAAATAGGAGTACTGGAAATAATAAAATTTGGAAATAACAAAATGTTGTTTCTCTTGACGAGGCAAGGTTTTGGTTTCGTTTGATACGGCTGTCTTTTTATATACCGTAGGCCACCATTTGGAATAGTCAGTAATTAAATCGCTTTCGACTAAGGTTACTGTACATGGAGATTTCTTGGAAGAGTTAACTATTAATTCACAAACTTCCTTTGGAGTGTAAATTCTGTCTTGTTTTCTTATTGGCCTCTTGATCATACTGAAACTTCTATCGCAAGGATTATAAGAGTGTCCTCGCAATGGGTAAAACTGCTTCACAACTTTGAACCTACCCAAGTCACACAAAGCAAGACAAACTTTAGATAATGTGTGGTTTTTATTTTGACCCCAACAATTATCTGAAAAAAGGTGAAGTTCCTCAACTTGGCTAGGGAGTGTACTAATATAATCCATTAAGAATGAAGTAACATCATTACTTCCTTTGTGTGCTTTTCCTTCATGATAAACATAATAATGTGAAAGTTTAGTTTTTGTATTGTATACACAAAAAACTTGCACGGTTAACTGGCGCAAGTAAAATACGTCTTGCTCCGGGATTTTTGGTAGCTCAATGTTTTGCATAAAGTCAAATACAAGGCCAACAACTTTTTCATTATTTTCAGACATTTTTGTTGTATCTTGAAGAGCTTTGTGAAATTGCTTAGCGCGCCTGCGATGAACCATTAACTCTGCAGTGGCAACACGCTTTGCATTTTCATTAATATGAGGGCTTTTCAATTTAACTTGACGTTCCTCACAGTAGGCACAGGTGTCTATTTGGGGCTTACCGAATTTTAATGTAAAGTTCTCATTAAAATACTTGAGATAAAACTCGTATTTGACACCAACACTTGGAAACCTTTCATTAAAGAGCTCATACATTTTATTAACGGTGAGTTCTGAAGACAAGTAAAGGTATTCTTTTGCTGCATAATGTGTTTTTTTAACTGGGAATGATTCGATATGATCATGAATCAATTTCAGAACATCAGGTGTTTTCTTGTTAGAGGGGCTTTTTTTCCCTCTCATGTCCCTAGGAGATTCCCCGGCTTTAAATAAATTTCTAATACGCCTGATTTTTTTGTCAGTGACATCGTATAGTCGGAAAAAGGCGTTTCTACAAACTTGAATCTTCTTACCTTGGAGAAGTACATAATATTTAAATGAACTGTCATACTGTTTGGATTCATTTCCCTTCCTTGGTCTTCTTTGTTTGACATCATGTTTTTCAATCATTCTTTGTAAGTGAAGATCTTGTTCGTTCTTACTATCCAACTTGTAAAGCGAATCAAAAATCAAAGCTCTTTCAGCTTCATCAAATTGTTCGAAGCACCTTTTTGGACATCTGGAAATAAAGCAAGCAATATAAGACACAGTACAGAAACACATAGAGGTGTTGAAATCGGATAGCCACCAGTGAAAACATCAACGCTACTACACTGAATAGCCTAAATAGGAAGAAATAACGGTTGTAGTTCGGTACACGCCCATGCTGGAACAAACAAATGAAAAAATCGATGTTTTATAACAGTCGACCTAACCTAACTTAACCTAACTTAGCCCAACCCGATATAATAAATCGATATTATTTAATTTTGATTGTTCCGTCAGGCGTATACGGAACTGCAGCCGAAACAACAATAAACGAAGTCTACATAATACGATGCAATTAAAAATAATCTACCTTAACCTACATATAGCAATCAATATGCATTCTAAACTAGTAAAATGTGTTAGGTTATGTAATAGAATGAAACCTAACAGAATCTGAGATGTCAAATTAAAATGATGTAGGCTATGTAAGGCCTATGCTATTTATACGCTAAATGCATGAACAAAATAGGTTCATAGTCTGTCTAAGGTAGTTTTAATGATGTTTAATGTGTCATAATAACCTAGTCTTATGAATAGGAATGTATATTTTAGCACTAGGACTAAAATATAGGCTTGTAGTACTAGCCCTATGCTACCTAAAATGTGGTCCCAGCTGATAGCTTAGTCAAATATTTTCAACAGTAAGAAATTATTTAGAGTTCAAACTACAGTAAATAAAGGTACTAGGCCTAAAGATGTTTTATGTTTGCAATCCTTAAGTACCTGCATGGTGATGAGACGGCTCTGGCTCTTTTAAGTCTCCCTTTGTGGCCAACATACTCTTGTCCTCTAAGTATTTTTTTCTTTAATTATATTTCTCCTATAATTTTCTGGATTCTTTTTTCTTTTCCTCCCTCGCTTTTGGTTGCCCTCTTCCATATTTTTTGTTCAAACTCACAAGGAATAACAATAACCTAACAACTAACCGTCAATGTATCAATCAACAATAATACAGCTTAGGCTACTGTGAAAGAAACTACGGACGGACAGCTGACTGTCTTCTGAACACAGAGTACAAAGCGGAGTTGAGAAGTAAAACGTACTTTAGTCACTGACTGAGGTACCTTTTGCCTCTCAACACGTAAAAGTGTGCTGTAAATATAACATTTGTAATGCTTGAATGACGGCTCTGCACTCGCTTTTTGCACTCAGACTTGTGTCTACCCCTAAGAATTCAAAATCGATGACTTATCAAAATGGCCACTTTTTTTACTTATGTACCTTTTTCAACTCACTGATTGATTGAAGAACAATCATTGTTCTTTATTTCATGAATTTGCTTATTGAAAATTGATAGCAAAGGAGAATGGTCCGTTTGTACTTCAATTCTGAAGTGTCCATAGGCTAAGTTATGAAACTTTTCAAAAGCATATACAATTGCGAGTAGCTCTTTCTCAATCTGTGCGTAGTTCTTTTCACTTTCAGTAAGTGACCTGGATCCAAACATAACAGGCTTCCCATTTTGGGTCAAGGAACAACCAAGAGAATAGTTACTTGCATCTGCTTGAATAGTTATTGGAGAATCAAAATCAAAGGGACTAAGTAAAGCAGCCGCTGTAATAGTTTCCTTCAGTGTATCCAAATGACGACTGTGTTCGGGGGTCCACTGAAAAACTACATTCTTTTTCAACAAATCTTGAAAGAATGAGCAGTGCTCTGCTAAGTTAGGAATGAAAGGCCTAAGATAATTCACAGTGCCTAAAATTCGTTGAAGTTCTGTCTTATTCTTAGGTATTTCCAGTTCATTAATAGCTCTGATTCTTTCACAGTCAGGTTTAACACCATTACAATCAAATTCTTGTCCTAAAAATCACACTTTTTCAACAAAGTATTGAATTTTATCCTTATTCAGTTGAATGTGGTTTTTCCTTGCCACATTGATAACTTCAAGTACAATTTTGTACAGCTCTTCTTTTGTTTCTGCTGCACACAGTATATCATCAAAGTACACTACAACCCCCTTAACGTCACTGAAAAACTTTGATGTTGTTTCATGAAAGTACTCCGGAAAAACTGAGAGACCAAATGGTGCCCGTAAATAACGATAAGTGCCAAACGGAGTGCTAAATGTACACAGTTTTGAAGACTCTGGATCCAAGGGAACCTGATGGAACCCATCCTTCAAATCAAACACACAGAAGTATTTTTTCTTAGCCAACTTAGTGGTTATTTCATCAAGAGTTGGGATTAAAACATAGTCTCGAATCAAACTTTTATTCAATTCCTTTGGGTCTAGACAAACTCTCAAATCTCCAGTTTTATGTTTTTCCACTATAACAAGGTTGTGTACCCATTCTCCAGATTCACATTTCTCAATTATGTTTCTTGATACCAAAGAATCCAGCTTCTGCTTAAGAGGATCCATTAATTTGTTAGGTATTCTATGGGCAGGTGAACTTCTTGGAACAGCCCCTTCCTTAAGTTTCAGTTTTAGTACTTCAGGAAAACAACCTTGGTTTACAAATACATCTTTATTCTCTTCAACCAGTGTTTGTACGTCGGGTATTTTGCTTACTGCATCAATAGATATTCTCTTGATGAGGCCCATTGCAATTGATGAATTAAGTCCTATTATTGGCGTCGCCTTTTCAGAATCAACCACAATAAATGTGATGTTGTACAATTTAGAAGCCACTGTAACTGGCAGTGTTACTTCCCCCACTGTGTTTATTTTGAACCCACAAAAAGCCTCAAGCTTGGTTGTTGATGGTTGAACCTCAAAACACTTAGGTAGAGATAAGCTATCAAGATCTTTGGTGGAAAGAATATTAACATCTGCACTAGTGTCAATCTTAAATACAATCTTCTTTGCATTTATATTTAATGTTACTGTCCAGTGACTTGCTTTGATCCTGTTAACATTGACTATAGCCCCCACTTCATCGTTAAGCATCCACTCTGACTGTGTTTCATCAATTCGAGCAGTAGATTCTAATTCATGGCCATTGAAAATTTTTGTCTTGCATACTTTAGCAAAGTGATTGGGTTTTTGACATTTTAAGCATACTTTTTTTTGTGCAGGACAAGGTTGGCCTTTGTGAAAATATCCACATCTTGAACATCTTGCACCTTCATTATCATAAGCTCTATGCCTGATCATTGAGTAATTACCATTTGTCGCTTGGCTGTAATTTTGCTTATTCATCTGTGGTTTTTGAGTCTTGTTAATAGTAACGTCATCAATATAGGTTGGCTGATCACTTTTCATTAATTGCTTCAAGTTTTCTTCTGCTGTTTCTACGCATCTGCAGTAATCAATTACTTTTTCTAGAGGAACATTGTCTCTTAGAAGGCGTTCTTTAACGCTCACAGAGGAAATTCCAACTATGATTTGGGACCGTAGGAGTTTATCTTCTTGATCTCTAAATTCGCAAGGGCTTACAAGTGACTTTAAATCAATCAAATATTTATCAAAACTTTCCCCATCTCTCTGTTTACGAGTTAAGAAACGATGTATTGCCATAGTCTCATTCTTTTTAGGAACACAATGTTTTTCCAACGTGTTTAAGATACTTAAGACTGTTTCATCCTCATTTTCGGCATCTCTCTTAAGTGTGTTGTAAAGCTTTAAAGCTTCAGCCTCTAAACGGTTCTTCAATCTTGCAACTTGTACTTTGTTTGACTTTTTGTCTGTTTCAGTTGCTTCAAAGTATATTAATATTTCTTCTTTAAACTTCTTATAATTGGTGGCAATATTACCATTAACAACATTCAACTCTTCAGGCTTATTAAAATCCATATTCATCTTTCTTTTCTCCCTTATTTACTCATTATTCTTGACTGCGCCATGTTTAATAGACAAAAGTATCTTTATTACTGAACTCAATCTGTGTACAAATTCAAATGTAAACAATAACAATATTAACATAATATGACATATGATTATACACAGACAAAGGAATACTTTTAACCAAACAATCACCCTATGTAATGCTATCCTTCAATTGTGTGTGTAGGCCTACATGTACCTGTTGTACCTAAAACTTTTTTTGCAGGTAAATTAAATTAAAACCATCAGGACAGAAATGGTTTGTGTGCAGAAATTTACAGTAAAAAAAAAACTTGCAGATTAAAATCCATAGAGGTGTTGTTAGTTTAGTATACTTTAATCAAACTTGTAACAAATTTTGGTATTAGAATTTCATAGCTGTTCTTAAAAGGCTTCTAACACTAATTATTTTCTTGCTTCAGGTACAAAAGAGTAGTCGCAGATGCAATTGTCGAGAAGTTCAACCCAATCAGAGAAGAGATGAATAGGCTTCTAGCTGCTCCGGAGTATTTAGAAGAGGTAAAGAGTTTTTGGACAATTTATTAGTATAAAAAACACAGAAACAAAATGGACAAATAATTTTTGTATTTGCTGGGTTTCTTTATAACTACTAAAAGAGCCTTGAAATATTTACGACGTGCCATAAGAATCAGATTGATTCTGTTGCATTGTGATCGAGTTCCATGCAATTTTTTATCTCAGTTCCTAGAATTACCTTGATAATGTAGAAACATCTTGGGCAATTCAAACATAATTGTAGATTATTAAAACTTTTTCAACCGTTATGCAATGGAACTGAAACTTAAAAAAGATAATTGGCTCAGAAAAAGTGGAATGTAAAACACAGCCCGGTGTTGCTATACAGCTTCATACTGAACACTACATAACTCAGTCAAGGTGTTACCTTCTCTTATCCCTTACTACGTACTACTTCAACACTCGTAATATCGATGACGCCATTTTATCATTGGCTGTTTGCCTCCCAGCTCGCTCCTTAGTCGTTACCTGGCAACTGTTGTTATCCACATACACAATTGCTCGTCTGAACATGTTGTGAACAAAAACACATAGCACGAGCACTGTTGATCAACTTAAAATTTGTTATGTAAGCTCAGACATTGTTTATGCTTGTAAAATCAAGCCTTCAAAGAAAAATTGGTTTACTCTTGATAAAATTTAGCACCAAGGACATAATGAACCCTTACTGATTACATATGTTCCTAGTACACCTGTGATATCAAATTAGACTTTTGCTTACTTACTCTTACTCCTGTGGCCATTGAAAACGAAGGCGGCCTTTGGCCTCGCCAACCATGTGCCTCCGGATCCTCTGTCCTCTCCAGCTCCAGGTCTGCTCCCATACTCCTTAGTAACTTCGTCAATCCATCTCATTCTTGGTCTTCCCAATGGCATCCTGCCCACTACCTCTTATCACTTGTTTTAATCTCTCTCTCACCTCTGCGTTGAATGTGGCCCAGCCACCACAACCTTCTACTCTTAACCACTCCCACAATATCTGGTTCCTTGTATAATTCCCTCAACTCCCTATTTTTTCTTATTCTCCACAAGTCTCCGTCTTTTATTGGTTCAAAAATCATTCTCAATACTTTATTTTTAAAAGTCTTTTTTAGTTTTTTTTTTGTGAAAGACCATGTTTCTGACCAGTTATAGCACTACAGGTTCCACTATGGTTTTTATACATTCTTATTTTGGTGGTTTTTGATAGAAGTTTACTTTTGAATAATTTTACTAAGCTCTAATATCATTTTTCTAATGCCGTGAGTCTGTTTTGAATTTCAACATCTTCAAATGTGACACGTCCAATAATTTCAAAACCATCACCTAACTTACCTTCTTTGTACTGGTTCCATTGGGGTTCAAACTCAAGTTCCACTGAAAAAAACTCAAGCTCTTACATTATCTGTGAATAAGTCATAGTTCCGCTCATTTCCTCGCTCAAATTTTCAATAATCCTAAACATGTATCTGATTCATTTTATACTATTTGCCCAGGTGCTGGACCAAGGAGCTCAAAGAGCGACTATGCTGGCCGAGATCACTTGGATGGATGTTAAACAAAAGATCGGTCTACAGACACTACCTCTACCTAGACATATATCAGCTTCTTCTGTGTTATGATCAACTGAACGGAGAGTCTGATGACTCAAGTCTCCTAGTAGATCTCTGATTCGATGCAGAAGAGTTGTTTAGCTTATGTTCCTCAAGAAATTAATCCCTCAATAGTCAATGAACATGTTCTGAGTTCTACTGTGTCTGTTCTTTTTAATTTATAAATTGAATCTTTTTTTAATTTATATTATAATACAGTACAAAACCGATTAATTAAGGTTGTTGGGACCGAGACTCCCTCGGTTACTAAGAATCTCGGATAACACAGAGGTTGCATACATTTTGAGGTTAGGGTTACGGAGGTTAAGGTACCTTATTGTGATGTCAAATACTTGTAATAAGCAACACATAGTGAATCAAAAATAATAGTAGCCTATGTTATTTTGATTTTGATGCAACCTTTTTTCCAAATAACGTAGTAGGCCTTAAACAATCGTAATAGGTAGACGAAATGATTGAATCTGTTACTGAAGCTGCTTATTTACATAAGCAAAATTGAAAACGTGCTGTAAGTCGTTTTGAGAGGTAATCTTACGTCATGAAATGTACCTATTTTAGTTTTTTCGCTTAATTTGTTGATTGATTATGAAATATGAAGAAAAATATAGTTCCATCACACGGGCCAAAAGTGCCTTTTCCTCGCTCATTTTCCAACCTCGGTGGAGCTGGGAGGACATCTTTGTAAAATATATGGCGTTTCAAAATCGCTATTTAAATATTCCACTCAAATAAAAAAAAAATTAAAATAAAACATTGAAGTGTAATACTTTACGTCAAGAACTAAATTTGTATCAGATCCAAGTTGTTTCACGTTTAGTAGGTCCGATTTGTCAGCAATGATTGTTTAAAGAATAAGATTTCTTACTAACCTACTTATTATAAGTATTTGGTCCATTTGTTAAATGCCATAAAAATGGCTAAAAATGTAGAACTCTTGCGAAGAGAATTTAGTGTTAAACAAAACCACGATTACTAAAAAAAACCCGGTATGGATCATAAACATCAACAAATGACGTTTTTGGCCCGAAAATAAACACGATTTAACATTGGTTAAATGGAACTGCTAAAACATATGTTCAATGCTATTAGTATAGGATTCGGGCCAACAACGTCATTTTGTTTATGTTTATGATCCATACCGGGTTTTTTCTAGTAATCGTGAACAAAACATAGAGATATTATAAACTAGAGTGCATTTATTTTGTTAAAAGTTGTTTTTAGATTAAACTTATAACCATTTTCTGTTACTTATGGAATTTGAATTACAGTAGTATTAAACTGTACAGAAAAATAAAATCATCAATTTTAGGCAAGCGTGTTTCTTGAAAACCTTTTTTCTCAGCTTGTGTGCATCACAGAGAAAATCTATGCATACTGTTAGAAAGATATTTTCCTGTAGATGTGCAGAATCCCTTTATAAACTTAAATAAGCTCAACAAATTAATTTAAAATTTAAAAAAAATTAACATAGGCCTTAAAAGTTGCCATTTTGGTGATGAAATGTACATTACATATTTTTGGTCGAGTCCTCGACCACTGGACAACCTCTACTTCATATAATTCCCTTAATTACTTGCTTAAATAAGCTCAACAAATTAATTTAAAATTTAAAAAAATTAACATAGGCCTTAAAAGTTGCCATTTTGGTGATGAAATGTACATTACATATTTTTGGTCGAGTCCTCGACCACTGGACAACCTCTACTTCATATAATTCCCTTAATTACTTGCTTCAGTAAACACCTCATTTTGCCATTAGCTAGAGAAGTTGATTGAGTTGTTACAAAGGAAAGTCAGAAAATCGAGGATAGAGGAGTAAAAAATATTCAGAAGCATTAACTAACAAAAAGGTATTTTATTTAGCTCACGGATATCTACAACAAATAAAGGATAAAGTTTACTGGGCAGCGGCAACCAATGCTTCTGCAACCTCAACAGCAATCTGCAACACATAGGAACAGAAAGTATAAGAAAAAACTTACGTTATAAGAGAAAATGTTATATGAGAAAACTTAAGAAAAAATATACCTAGATAAATTGTTTCTAATCAAGAAATAGTGTATTTAATTACTAAACTCTGTTCACAAAAGTTAGGCGGTTTGAGGGGAAGCGATTCCATCCCCTCCATCTCACTCTAATTTTAAAACAAATGTAGGCCCTAACTATGTATTAATGAAAAATAGGTATTGGCCCACGGTTAAACCCATGAATCTTTCAACCCTAATTGAAGGTTACCGTATTACAAATGTATTGATTCCATATATTGCATACAGTTCACAGACTTTGTTCCGGTTATACATAATAACCTAATATTCCCTGGTTTTTGGTTGGCCGAACAAATTGGTTAGTATTTTAGAATACAGAGCTTCGTACTAATAGTTGTAATAAATCTTTCCCAGCTGGGGGTTCCGATTTTCCAGACAGGGTCTCTGCTAATTGTTCAAATCTGATTTGCTAACATTAATAAACCTTTAGGCCTACCTGGGCCTCAGCCTTGGCAACTTCGCTAGATGCAGACGACAATTCACTCTGAGCCTTGCTGAGGACCTCACGGGCGGCCGAGATGTCCAAATCTTCCACGGAATGTGCCTCCTCAGCCAACACTTGCACTGATGAGTCATCATTGATGGTTATCTAGAGACAGTGTGTCACATTAGTAACAATGAACAATCAACGTTTTCATTTCAGTAGACACATATTTGCATAGGACACATCAAAAAGTAGATGCTACATGCTGCAAAAACACAAGCCAGAGATAATTTACAGCGCTCGGTAAGAGCAGTGGAGATTCCCAACTCAACTTGAGTGAATCAGAGTATTTCAGTTTTTAAGGCAGTAAGAGAGAGCTAGGGACGGGATAGCTTAGAGTGAAAAACCATGACCGGGCACACCGTACGTACCTTACAATTTGGCAATGTAATTGCCTCAGCAGAAAATGCAGTTGCGAATAATAGCTGAAGAATTATAATAGTTGAATAATAGAAATACAGTAAATTTTCTTTAAAGTAACCCATTCTGACATCCTAGTTTTGTGCGTTGGATACACTGGTGATATCTACTAAGCTTGGTTAACCGTTGTTACTTTTAGGTTACTAAAAATAACCATTTGGAGTCCAAAATTTACAGTGTGATAGGCTTACATGAGTGTCAATTAGCTATAGAGAAGATTTCTGGCACTGTCTTGGAAGTAACCAAATTAAAATATCTAGAACGACTTGTTACTTAACAATAACTTATTGACGAGATATAATAGTAAGTTAGCCAATGTAGCTTTAAAGTAAAAATGTGTTAACTTAGGCTATGCAAGCTCTTACATAAAATCAAATAGGCATAATGTTTACCATATTTTTATTATGTCATGTAGGCCTACCAACTCACCGTGCCACTGGAAACAAAGACTTTCTTAGCAGAGCCGTCTTGCTCATAAATAGTCACTACTCCTGGCTTCAAAACTGCAAGTGTCGGGACGTGTTTGGGCAGAATACCAAATGAACCACTGAAGGATGGCACATCTACTTGCTTCACATTGGCATTGTTGTAGAATACCTAGAGAAATGGAATTTTCAAGATATGGAGTTACAACTAGGGCTGAAGTTTCAGCCCCTGGCAAATAAATTAGTAGATAAATAGCCAAGGTTAATTAAAATTATTATAATTGTAATTATTTAGTTATAGCGTTATTGTCTACACCTTTTATGTCAAGGGGTACCGGTAGGCCTTTTTTTACATCGTGACCATGGGAACCTAGCCTATTTTGATTTATAACTTGTATCACCAGAAACTAAACTTAGATTTTTAGCTGAAAATAATATTTAATTTTGGGATTATTATTTTGTTGTGTTTAAGCCCGTAGGCCTACCTGTTTCAATAGCACAAAAATAGTCTGGATATAGGCCCTAGGATAGGTTTAAATATAAATTCTCAACTCCATGGTCACTAAGTAGGCCTACTGGTAAAACCTACACCTTAAATTAATTAAATAGGATAAAGGTAATTTTGAAATCTAACATAACTTCAAAACTCATTAGTCCATTCCATTTTTTAGTCTAGCGTAATGGAGCAATCAGACCAGAAATAATGTACCGGTAAACAAAAGAAATCAAAACTTCAAACGACCGTAACGGTAGTCCAGTTAAGTTTAGGCTAAGTTAATGTTTGTGACCTCGGAGAAATTTTTGCACCGTTGTTTTCACAAAAACATCTGGTAAGTTAATATGAAAGATGTACGGTAACTTAGGTTCCCATGGTCATATTTCTCATGTTATGTAATGTCAAATAAGTAATTACCAGTTATCAAAATAAATAAATGCAGCAACCGATAATCCATTTGGTGAAAAATCACTCTATGAAAGTCTATAGCCTACTATGATGAATGTGAGAATTTGGCAGTAAGTCGTGCTAACAAACCTTGTTTGCTGCAGCAAATGTAAAAGCCATCTCTTCAGCATAACCTCTCTGTTGAACAGAAGCTGCGGCTCTTGAGGCCAGGAGCCTGGCAGCACTACGGGTTGAGCGAGCTAGAGATGCAGCCATTGTGAGCTAAAAATACAAAATTAAATGTAAAGACTTAACTACGGTAACATATGTATATGTATTGGAGTAAGGGCCTAGGTTATTAAGATGGGACCGAAGCAATAAATTAGCCTACAGTTAACTTAAGTGAAAGGACGAATAGCTAAGTTAGTTATTAAAGATGCATCTTCCAGCAGCCTTAGATTTATCGAAGGCCTGCTAAGCAATCTTATCTAGGTTTACATCCTAATCCATGCCTCTGGGACTTGTTGAAGGCTAAGTCAACACCTTAACGAAACATGCTAAGAATCATTACAATTCCCAACTCCTATCAATAAAGTGTGGATGACACGATTAAATTAAATCTTTGTTTGGATACAGTTTCTTAACTGGGCTATGCTAATATTGATTGAAACTATCGAATTGAAAATATTGATTAATAATCGATATTTTTAAATATATCTATTATTAAAATAAAACTATCATAACCTGACCTAGCCAACCAAACTTGCTGATGGTTAAAAATCGCATGAAGGTTTACTAATCGAATCGATAGTTTCAATCAATATTAGCATAGCCCAGTTAAGAAACTGTACCCCTTTGTTTAAAAAAGCACGGCCAATTAGTTGTTTTACTAATCATTTATGCCTAGTAAAGTGAATGCAAATAGGCCTAGGCCTACTGTACTGTACTAGGGCAATGAGGTTAACATCTCTTGACGATTGCTGTGTTCAACTAAAATATATGCAAATTCAGACGGGATCTAATAAATAAGACTTTTTGAGAAACACTTAACTACATTAGTACTGGATAAATTTGTTGAATTTTAAATTACCTTAAATTTGTTTAATTTTGACCTACAGAAGTGGAAGGAGAGGAGATGAGAAAATTTCTGTCCTCTGCTAACAGTGTTGCCAACCACAAGCACGTCTAAAACAAAAACAAAAACAAAAACTGTATCTCTACTGTACATACAAATTAATTTCCACCATCGATTATTTAACAAAAAATATTAACTAAAGATTGTTCCAAAATAGTCACACTAAACTACTTTAATACCATACAAAGTAAAGTAAGTTAAGTTAGCAAAGTAAGTTATATTAAGCCAAGTATGAATGGAGATGAGTGTAGGATGAGTGGCACGATCTTGTAGTCTTGTTGGTGTCTTATTCCTTAGACAGAGCTGTTAATTAATAGCCCACACAGCTTATGGCAACTAAGGGACCTACAGTTAATAGTGGAATTCGAACCACATTTTTTGCCTTGATATATACGAATATTGGTATAATTTTTATGGATAGCACTGCGGATAGTCGTAGTACTCACTCGTGCAGACGTTAATCCACGCCTTGGAGTATCGCATCCACAGTGCATGCCTATAAATATCCACAATTCGTAACCTCCTAGTAGCTAGATTACAGAACGACGCCACCCGTCCCAGTTACTTGTAAGTCATTCGGAATAACCATCCAATGATTTATTACGACACTGAACTCAAGTAACAAGTCAAACGACAAAAATCTCTTTGTTTTAGACTTCTCATCCCAAATTTTTAAATTTAAAACTAGTTTTTCGTGTATAGTTCATGTGCAGTAACTAGTGCCGACGAAATTTTTTTTCCATTATTTTAGGGTAAATTTAATGATTTGTGCTTTGTACTTAATTAGAAAATGACTGGATCTTTCCAAATCAACAAACTAAGTTTCCGTTAGTTGTAAGAAATCTACTTTTTGTAAAATTCAAAGAAACTATTTAAAGCTGGCTAAAACAAAAAGCATTATGTTGAATAAAGTTGGTTAAAATTGTACTTTGATAAATACATTCATTATTTGTTCTAATTACATACAGAACAGATCCCTTTTACTAGCTCACCTGCTGTACCTTTATGGACTACGTCCCACGCTTTGTATTGTGGAGTTGGAAATGTCCTGAAAAACAACAAGGCTCCTGGACCTGATGGGGTACCCAATGAGGAATGTTCCATCTATGATACCCTGAACATGTTAGGCACGTACATTGCCTGCCTGTCCGAGAGGATGTTTCCCAGGGAAGGGAGACCCATAACAGCCGCCCTCCTACAGATATCTCAGTATGTTGGATACGACTGGAAAAGCATTAAATTATTAAGCAATAATTAATTTGATAGTTTAATTATGCTCAACTATATTAATCTGACTGTTCTTCCCTTTTGTTCGGTATTTGTAATGTGCTAGTTTAGATGATTCGTAGACTGACATATATGTTTACTCTTTTGCTCTTTTGTCTCCCTTTTCATTGTAATCTTGAAAATAATGTCATAGCGGCCTATAAACCCGTAAGACCCATGTTAAATAAAAAAAAATTAACGTAAAGAAAATCCCTTTAGTCTGATTGGTACCATTTCAGATTTATAATAATAGATAGTTGGTAAATGGCGTTGACGTTGTGACATTATTTCCATGTAGATCGTTCAGCCATTCAGGATGAGTATTTGGAAAACAGGAGTGTAGTTTAAGAACTTCTATCGCTCCGCTCAATAATACTAGTGAGTACTATATTAGCGAGAATAGGATAACATTAGTCTATTAGGATATCGTAATTTGTAATATTATGTTTATATTATGGTCATTGAATACACTTGTATAGTCAATACTAGAGCGTTCCATGTAGTGAATCAGTATAATACAATATTCCTAGATCAGAGCGTCACTACCAGATGTACCTAGCGTACTCTATGTCTATTGTTGTCGGGCTATGCGAACATTCTATAGTGGAATAGAATACAGAATAGGACTGGCCTCTGAGGAGGTAGGGGATGCGACGTTGCCACTTCGTTCTTGGCTGGTGAGCTGACTTTCACCTAGAGCCTGGGAGCGGGCGCGGGCATCCCTCTGACTCTGTCTTCCCACTTACTTGTAGGGTAGTTTAACACTACAATTAATTTTTTGGCGGTATCGGTTAGTGTTGTCATGTTTATATCACATGGAAGATACATTCATCCCTTACTTGATTATGGATAGATTATTTGCACAATTAATGACTTAAACCGCTACTAGATTTAGTTTTTGAAAAATATATTAACATACAATTAATAAATATAAAATGAAAATACATTTTATATAGGGTCACCTTTACAAGTTTCTGGAAATATGTTGCCTATAGTCAAACGTTTGTCAACCCCAATTTTATAAACAAATCACCGTAACAATAAGAGCAAATGAATACATATGGTCCAAACACTTTTATAGCAGTTCTAAAAATCTTGTAAATTGTTGCCCTGCTTATAGTTTGATACATAAAACAAATTAACATGGAAATGAAGAAGGTAAAATCTTCCATATTAAACATTTACAGCAATAGTTTGGTTGTGTTTAGGAAACGAAGTTGGTCAATGTTTAGGAATTACCCCAAAGCTGCCTTTCTTTGAACACCTATTGCGACCCTCATTCCGTTAATCTTATTATTGCCACTCGACTGAACTTAAACTTACGGAGAACAGGTAGCTCAATAGTGACGAAGACATTTCTGTAATATTGTGATTTGACAAAAAAGTCCGTTAGTTTTATATTGAATTTAAGAAAATTGAACTAACGTTTACATACATTACGTTATGTGTTGCATTCATTCAAATAGTCATACGATATATTCACTCTTCTATAAAAAAAAAAAAAAAAACTTCTAATGTAGGTACTCTAGAAATTCTCAAAAAACATACCAGGTAAAAAGGGAAATAGATAACATAACTGCCAATTTATTGCCAAAATGACATAACTATTTTTATTAGAAAATATTATTTTATATTGCACTGGAAATTGTTACATAAAAATATTTACAAAAGAAAATATTGACGTATGAAACTTAAATAAAATTTGTAAGGGATAGTGACATTTTTATATAGGCCTATCAAGATATTTGCATTACGTAAAGGAACACCACGTCCGACGTTACGATATCGCAAAAGTTTCACGTGTACTCGTGGTCGTCCACGTCGCGTACTGTTGTCCGTATTCATTGGGCGAAACACAGTTCGTAGACGAATTCTTGACAAAACAGGAGGGTATACTAGAAACGCACAGGTCAGCTATCGGGCAGAGACTGAGTGCGTGGCACAACTTGGCAACAGTGGACAGATTTCTAAAAGCTGATTGGATGCCGCATGCCCCGCCCCACCCGACTCGAACTGGTTTCGGTCCTATTCTGTATTCTATTCCACTTATAACTGACAACGGACAATATTTAAGCAACAAGGCTGGCATGCCTTAGTGTTCAACTTTTTACCTTTTAAAACCACATATTTTGCATTAAAACTTTACAATACCCGATTCAAAAAGTGAAAAAATATTTAGTGCTTTCAAACATATTTTATGGGGATTGAATCAAGATTTCGGATAAAGAATATGGATAGTAATTGTGTAACCTGAGTATTTTATACAAATTATACCAACTTTTACTAGTTTTACTAGCTTTTACTAGTCAAATTTTAGATGCTGCAATAATCGAAAAAATCACTTAGAACTATCGGCATATTACTTTTTTGAATTTTAGAGGTTTTCTGAGGGTAACAGACAAACATTACTAATTATAGAGGTTTTCGAATTATCGAGGTTCGAATTAGTGGGGTTCTACTGTATAATTATTGGCAATCGAAAACGTGTAGCTGATCTTCAAAGCGATCTTAATTACGATTGAATATTCTTATAGACTATGGTAGTGATAAGGAATAGCGGAATAAATAGCCGAGTCTCATATAGGCTTAGTAATATGATTTAAATTTACACGAACAAAATTATGTCGGTTCAAAATGTCTTTGGGAGTTTTACCATTGACTATGATTCGAATCCTTAAGGAGTTTTTTATCCTTAATTAGTTAAGGATTCATAGTCAATGGTTTTACTATAGATTAAACATACTCTTTTGTGTTGTTTAGTCTATGGTTTCACATTACGTTACATTTAATCTAACCGAAAGGTTTGATTCTTATGCACCCACAATGCTGCAAGTTGGTTTTGTACATTAGAATAATTTACACACAATTCTTGTATCAGAAAAATAGAAGTGACAGAACAAAGGATTAAATGCCAAAACGAGCACGGTGTTTGCGTGAAAATCAAAGCAATGGTGGTCGAGAAAGAAATGTCATATCTAAGTGGTGCAGAAATCAATGATTTGACCTTTGTACTCTGAAGTTGGATCAACCACAACAGCATTACGCTGTCAATGTTACTTATAGCATCACTTTTACAAAATCAAGATATTTATGTTTAGAATGTTGCCTATCTTATGTTTTAACTAGGTAGGCCCATTTGTTTGTAACTATTTCTGAGGGACATCGAACACAAAAACACGGCTATATATTCTGTATTTAGGATAAACGAATAGCTTCAAATGTTAGCTAAATTGTGAAAACAACAAATGATTTGTAGCAGGAAACTGTGGCACATTTTAAAACTATGGTATCACACTATACTTACATAGGTAAATTATTTTTCATCTTAATTATTTTACGTTAGTGTCTTTTTATTAGTACTATAATTGAGTGAAAATTTAAAAACGTACGTTTTCAGGAAAAGCACTTTGCAAATTTTTTTCCCTTTTTTTCAAAACTTTTATTATTTTATTTTATTTCATTAACATTTGAAGTTTCATAAAATGTCCATGGTAACGCAATATCTTTGGTAGTTTCTTTTTAGAAGAGCATCTTTAGTGGAAAAATACAAAATCCTGTCACGACCATAACGGACGTTTAAATGAATATTAAAAATGGTTAATACTATTTTTATAACTATGTTTTGCTATAAACTAATTTACTTTTAAGACCATTATACAATAAAAAGGTCACTGAGCTTTTGGTATATTTGGTCTTCCTAGAAAAAAATACAAAATCTCAAAAAATTGAAAATAAGCCAATAAAATCTTTTTAAGTTTGTATAACTCTGAAAAAACTTACCTGAGACCCGAAAAATC